TGTAATGAACTGCATAGGCTGCGATGACGGAGTTGACGAACGAGGCTCTCCAGGTGGTGTACCGTCAGGTTTTACCCATGCTGGTCTGCTTGGGAGTCCTGGCTAATGGTCTTTGTATCTTAATCCTCACCAGACCTGGTTTCATGTCAGCTTGGGTCACCAGGTGAGCTCTCGATTGGTTCATTACATGCACCCAACTTAATCTGCCACTAACGCTAATCATCATACCTAACCCAAACAATGGTGTTACAACAGTCAGTTCACTAAGCAATCTACACGCTAAGTCCACCGTGTCTACCACCAGTTATCAACATATTAACTCTTCTGCTACACAGATGTTACACAACGTGACATGTTGTGTTACAATGTGTCAGACTGAGACACCAGTAACATGTCTCTTGCATTTATTTGTCATTTCTTGAGCAAACTGACAGACAACGAATGAATAGTAGACTGCAGAAGTCTTATTGGCCTTACGAGGCTTTTACTATTTTTACCCAATCACAACCACTTACATATATTTTGTCTTACCTGTGCTTGATATTGTCTAGCGATGCTTCATCCACTTCGTCTATATATAAAAGAAATAATGTCTATCTGTCTCTTCAAGAATCGAGACCAGATGCTTGAGTCCAGGGGGAACGGGATGGACATAGGCTGGTTGGGGTAGGCCTAAGTTAAACACTTTAAGAAATATCAGCCACTAACCTACCACCCCCCCCCCCCCCCTCCTTTCCTTCCCCTGTCCGATTTTGATGGCGTCTGAAAAGAATTTGTGGATGTGTTTATGACGTTTGCGAGGCACTACACATCAAGAAGTCAACACCAGCAAGCAACAGCCAATTAATGCACAACTATATTCTACCCACCTCAAGACTCCGCTCCAATATAGAAGCATCAAGAAATATGGACCAATAGGCTTTCTACAATCACTTCTATTCAATACCCATTGTTTCGTGTTCTGTCTTGTGTTGATGAAATTAATACCTTATTAAATACCACCTCACCCCATCCACCTCACTCAAATGTAGATATAAACAAATCGGAGATGAGTAAGTTCTATTCAGTTGTGTATTTGTAAACTAAAGTCTTTGAAAATGTAATAAGTTTTACGAAACGCGCTCAAGTGTCGCGTCAGACTAGAAATAAAAATGAATTTTGGAGAATTGGCTTTTGAATTACCACCAACAGTGAAAAGAAATGTATGAAAGATTGAGAAAATTCGTGTTAGAATTATTAATCTTACTTTTTCGGTCATATTTAATAATATATGTCTACAGGAAAGACTGCTACCAAAATATACTATATATATATATATATATATATATATATATATATATATATATATATATATATATATATATATATATATATACAGGTATATATATATATATATACCCTGTATATATATATATATATATATATATATATATATATATATATATATATATATATATATATATATATATATATATACAGGGTATATATATATATATATATATATACCCTGTATATATATATATATATATATATGTATATATATATATATATATATATATATATATATATATATATATATATATATATATATATATATATATATATATATATATATATATATATATATATATATATATATATATATATATATATATATATATATATGTATCACTAAGAACTCTTTGACCCGGCCAGGATTCGTACCCATGCAGTCCAGGATCACCTCTAAACGTACACAGTACCGTGACCACCGCACCAATGATCGTACGTTTAGGGGTGATCCTGGACGGCATGGGTTCGAATCCTGGCCGGGTCAAAGAGTTCTTAGTGATCTATGGCTTGCGCGTTCATGCAGCTTTCTCGCATATATATGTATGTATGTATGTATGTATGTATGTATGTATGTATGTATGTATGTATGTATGTATGTATGTATGTATGTATGTATGTAAGTAGTCTACGTGGCATAGTGGTTAAGACACTCGCCTGGCGTTTCACGAGCGCTGTGGCCAGGGTTCGTCTCCTGGCCAGGGGAGGATTTACTGGGCGCCAATCCTTAAATGTAGCCTCTGTTTACCCAACAGTAAAATAGGTACCCGGTTGTTTTTTTATCCCTTCCTATTTACGCTACGATGCTGAGACTTGGACCAGATAAAACCCTTTTCATATACAACTAGTCAAAAAAGTTTGATTGAAATCGAACTAGTTTTAATTCAATGCATTTTTTTAGAAATCTGGAGCCCTTTAAATTAAATTAAGGACTTGCCCGAAACGTTATGCGTGCTAGTGGCTGAACAAGAATGTACGAATTCTTGTATATATAAATAAATAAATAAATAAATAAATAAATAAATAAAAATATATATATAGTTTTTGTACATGTATTTAAATATTCAAGTAGAAGTGCAGTGTGTTATAGAATTGCATTGATGCTGTATAATTACTCACTTCGTACGATTATAAATATTGTCAGTAAGTTCCATACTCTTGTTAAAATACATAAACAGCATGTATTGATCCTTAATAGTGCAACCCCGTTCTCGCACTTGCTTAAAGTCAATATCTTGCTTATGAATAAGTGCATATGTGACATATTAATTTATTGTTAATATTTTAGTTTACCTTGTAAAGATGAATAGAAAACCACAACCTAACCTAACCTTCTTAGTATGTTAAGATATTACAATTAGTACTGAACCTTTACCTATAGTAATATTAGAGTTTTATGAAAATTATAAAACAAAACTAAAATATTTAAATAAATTGTAAAGTAACTCAGGATATTGTCAAATTTTGTATAAAATCTCCATTGTTTAATAAAACTGAGAGAAAAAGTTAGTGCCTTGAAAAAAATAAGGCTTGAAATAAGTCACATATTTACTTTTTTATAAGCAAAATAGTGAATATAAGCAATAAGTCATATATGTGCTGTCTTGTGCGAGAGCAGGTTGCATGGTGTGAGGAGAGATGTGTGTGTGTTCGCTCACTCGTGCGAGGCCAGAGGCTGACGTACAAGTTCAGGACGCGATGAGTCAATACTCCCACGTGCGGGTTGGATGGTCAGAACTGACATCCGTTGATGTTACTATAGGATAATATTATTTTCTTTACCATGTGTTATTAACCACTTGGAGTATTAATTGTCCAATCCTTTGCATGAACAGTTAAAGTTACTTATTATTGGTGGCGTTTGACCACCTGTATGTAAAGTGAATATATTATTATGTGGAGGATTATGTCTTGTTGGTAGCCTTGATGTTGTCTGGGCAACTTGCTTGCCACGGGGATGAGTACTACTCATCCCCGAGGATGAGTACTACTCATCCCCGAGGATGAGTTACTACTCATCCCCGAGGATGAGTTACTACTCATCCCCGAGGATGAGTACTACTCATCCCCGAGGATGAGTAGTACTCATGAGTAGTGGATTCTGTAGAGTCATTACGATTGGAAGGCCGCTCTGGGCAGTTAATAAGAGAGTAAATTTCAGTTTTGCCTGATGTTTGCTTGGTTCAACTTGTCTGTGTTACCATATATACTCTACTAATTGATTATAAATTAAGTGTATGGAGTGTGCTAAGCTCCTAGTGCTTACAATAATTATATATATACATTTCCCTGTAAATTTTATACTGCCTTGCGGGTGTGATTTTATGACCTTGTTTAGTACAACAGGTTCTAGGGAAGTTTTTTTATTATTATGTTTTACTTCATTGTTAGCTTTTGTTAATTATACTGATGTTGATATTCTAGTGTTTTAATTAGGACCTTATATTTGTTCTGAAGCATGTTTAACATTAACCATAATTCAACTAAGCTATAACACACCTCCATGCTCAAATGTCACCCCGGGGAAGGACTTAAGTCCAGTTGGATACCAGTTGGGTGTCTCTGGGAGCCTTCCTTATTGTGGGTACTCGTGGTTCAGTTGGTAGAACTGTGGGCTGCAGTTTTTGTGTTCCGCAGTTTCAGGCTCTGGTGATCCAAGTGAACAGTTATGGATTGGTACCCAGTCAATCCTCCCTGGTCTCGAACCCATACTAAATCGCTCGCGGCGCAGTTGTGTTACTACTACGCCACCACTGTCTTCTGGGGGGGGGGGTCGTTGCTCTATAGCCTATGGGTATAAGGCACATCCTGTTATACTACGTTGTGACTTGTTAAGCTTGAAGCTGTTCCCCTTGTGTGAAACTTTTGTTAAGAAGTATTGTGCATTAATGTCTTCCACTTTATTCAGCATTTTAAATTTATAGATGAGATCAGCCCAATTTGATCTCCTTCTGATCTTTGTCTAGTCTGAAACGTTTTTACACCCGAGACTTATTCTGGTGTGAGTTGACTTTTCTGGAGTGATTTTTATCGCTTTACGTTGAACCTTTTATCAGTTTAAAAAAATTTCATCAACTGCATGACTGTACAAAGTATTGAATTTAAAAATATTCAATAGGCTTCTTTTTTATCAATAAATTTGATAAATACCTGTGAGTATTCCTTATACAAACCCAGAAAAACACAAGATTTTGTAAGAAATCAAGATCATCAAACACTACACGCCTTGTGCCCTTATTGCCCCAGTTGTTGACTTTCGGGAAAGCCCCTTCATGACGTAGCGACGGGGAATTCTTATCAACCACTCTGCTTGTTTTAAGCTGCATTTGACCCATCTTTTATTGCAGCCTTTTTTACGACTCAAGTTAATATGTCGTTAAACTGCACGTCGTTCTCTCATAAAAAGATTTCTTATGAAACCGTGGGTCTCAATAGAACGAAGCCTAACAGTGTTAATCATGTTGTTTAGCAAAGTTATGTCTCCAGCTCCCATCTACATAAATCTTAAATACTCGCTGCGTTTCTGTAAAGGATGCTAAAACGCCATTTAAAATAAGCACAGTTTTCATTTTCTTAATCAAGAAAACAACAATCTCAGGATACGAATTGTGAGTTGCCTAAGCACTAATTGCTGGAATGGTTTCCTGTCAACATTATTTAATTTAAAGTCACGCTGCTGCCCCCTTTCGTGCTGAGGTTGTGCATATTGAACCAAATTTTAGTAAATGATAATGGATGTGTGATTTACTGAGCCTCGCCGGACTGACGTCTGTAGCGGGATTATGTGTTGAGAAGAGAAACCTGAATACTATGTGGCACAACGGAGAGGAAATCCGGGATTTTTATAATCAGTGCTCGGGTTGACGTGTCGCTGTTTGGACACTGCCAGCATCGCTCTTCACTTGAGGTAAGTGTCGCTTGTGTATTGACTGTTATTAGTAGGAAATGTCACTTGTATACTTAAAGCTCCCTAGTGGGAAGTGTTTTTTTTGTATTGTGTCTTCTTCATTATGGGTAAGGTAGAAGTGTGAGTTCGTAGACTTTGAGAACCTCACACATAGGATGTGACAGTAGGATGTGTTCGAAGTATATTAGGATCCCTCCTATTGGTTGAGATGCAGGTCCTTCCTATTGGATGCGATTCAGATCCCCTCCTGCTGGATAGTATTTAAATCCCTTCTCTTGGGTGAGATGCAGGTCTTTGTCGCTGTGGTATATTCAAATCCCTCCTTTAGGGTCGTTTTTAAATCCCTTCTGTTGGGGGAGATTCAGGAACCTCTTGGTGGTTGGGATTTATATTCCAACTGTTGAATGGGACTCAGATTGTTATTGTTGGGTGGGATACAGGTCACTCCTATTGAATGGAATGCAAGTCCCTCCTGCTGAGTGGGGTTCAAGGGTGTGTTCAGAGTGTTTGGATGTGTCTCATGTTCTATTGTATAAAGAGATTTTTGAATATGTTTGGGAGGATCTTTATGGTGGGGAACAATTCAGTTTGGATAGCTTATCACGGAGAGAATGGTTGAGAATATGTATCAAGCTAAAATGTTCGAAAACGAAATGATCCGCCACTTGGCTGTAAGTGTTCCCAACTTCAAGTACTTACTTAACCAATTCCTGTCTGTGACTGTTTTGATTTATAAATATAGTCATAATTTCAAGATTTCTACAAATGTTAGATCAAACATTTTTTAAAATATGAAAGAATTGGAAGAATACATATTAACGTATAGATACTTCTTCGTATGTCTAACCCAACCAAACTTAGACTAACTTAAACAAACCCATAGTTATATTTTTACCTTTATTTCACAAACAGAAGCTATGCTGTTTACATACAAGATAGCACACTCTGAACTGCAATTGCACCTCAGTCGAAATTATCATATTTGACACTGTATCTAAATAATACTGTTCTCCATGGGTCTTGATTCAAAGACCATGGAATTTACTACCCCTTTTATATTTTTGCCTATTCCATTTAGCCTCACTTTTCTATACCTTAAGAATTCTAAGGTCTGAAAACAGGCTTGATCATATTTATTCATGTAAAAACTAGGCGATATTTCTTTAGGATACGTAAAGTAAGGAGAGGAATTATTATTGTAGGCGATATAACCAGATACTGCCTATTTATAAATAACGCAGAACCCATAATGCCTTCATTCACGCTCCATATATTAATAAATCAATGATGCTCCTAAATCAGTTTCTAAAAGCATCTGAAACCCGCAGGAGATCCAAAAAACTTGGAATTCTCGGTGGTGGCAACTCTGACGATGACGGGGGAAGTGGACAAGACCCATCAGGTGGTGTATCGTCAGGTTCTGCCTGTTTTGGTCTGTCTGGGAATCCTTGCTAATGGTCTCTGTATCGTCGTCCTCAGCAGACCTCGCCTCAGGTCAGCTTGGGTCATCAGGTGAGTTCACTCTTGGTTAATAACTTCCCAAACCTCACTTAAAACTCCTTTTCCTGGAATGGCCTCTGTTTTATTGTCCTTACTTGAATATTTTTACCCTCCTCCATGAGGATGGCACCTATTTTTTCCCAAAGTAATCCAAACCCGCTCTCTCAATATATATATATATATATATATATATATATATATATATATATATATATATATATATATATATATATATATATATATATGTCGTACCTAGTAGCCAGAACTCACTTCTTAGCCTACTATGCAAGGCCCGATTTGCCTAATAAGCCAAGTTTTACTGAATTAATATATTTTCTCTAATTTTTTTCTCATGAAATGATAAAGCTACCCATTTCATTATGTATGAGGTCAATTTTTTTTATTGGAGTTAAAGTTAACGTAGATATATGACCGAACCTAACCAACCCTTACCTAACCTAACCTAACCTATCTTTATAGGTTAGGTTAGGTTAGGTAGCCGAAAACGTTAGGTTAGGTTAGGTAGGTTAGGTAGTCGAAAAAACATTAATTCATGAAAACTAGGCTTATTAGGCAAATCAGGCCTTGCATAGTAGGCTGAGAAGTGAGTTCTGGCTACTAGGTACGACATATATATATATATATATATATATATCCAAAAGAATAGGGGTGGTAGAAGAAAATATCAAAGTGTTCAGTGAGGATCCACAAGGTTTTCTCTGAGTACTCTTTATTTTCTTCTCCGAGGCTATGGGTCCCTACACATGCACCAGAGGTGGTACCCCTTCTAGGTTTAAAAAAAAATATATATATATATATATATATATATATATATATATATATATATATATATATATATATATATATATATATATTATATATGCCTTCACCCTATGCTAATGAACCTAACTGCAAGGTTAGAACATTGACATGTATATCAAAATGTTTGACAGTAAATGTTTTTGAATGCTGGGTATACTATTTTTTTGTTATTAACAAGCTTAGGTAGACACAACAAATGTGCTGCTTCCCTATTCTATATGAAAGATTACACAGTGTAGATAAAAAAAACTAACTATAAGTTCATCTAATTATCCCATCTCTCAGGATGGTTAGTCATACATCGAATCAGAAGAGAAAATACCTGCCTCAATACAAAAATAAATTAAATTTTACTAAATAATAACTTTATTTTCATAAGAGCTAAGCTCTGAAACATGCACATATTATATTATAATAATTTTTACCAGTTTCCACAAGATTCCTCACAAATAATGTCTTTTTTTTCTTTTCTTTTTTTTAACAAGCTTAGGTATGCACAGCAATAATATGCAAAGTGTCAGTGAGGTTATACAAATGTGTTAACATTTCTACATTGTACAAAGAAATCACATTAACGTGATGTATCAATGAGAAAATCATTTAGGAGTTTCCCTGAGCATAGGTTCGATTCTTCCTCACAGCTCCATCTAGTATACTCATTTCTACATTGCACAGATATTTTTTTGATTAAAAATGATTTGTCAATATTTCTGAAAAATTATCGAGAGACTAACTTGAATGATGTTTATTCAGTCACTTTTGAAATTGAAGCTTGTTAAGAGGTTACTGCTATCTACTGAAGGAGGTATAACATATAAAATATTTATTCACATTTCTGGCTTGAACAAATATATATGAGTTTGAACATTGCCATTCAATTGTTTGAAACATGATAATTAAATGAATATTGACAATTTAGTTTAATTTGTGTGTGGAACCATTGATTGTGTTTTTATGTAAAACTAGACTATATATTGTGGAGCTGTGGGGTCCCCTCCACTCCACGCAGGCGAGTCATGTGGTATGTGAAATAATTGTGTCAGTATGATGCAAAATCGATGTATAATGAAATCTTCCCTCACCCACCTCAAAGGTTCACTACAGACAATTCAGTAAAGACTGTCACCGCATTTAATTTACTGTATTCAGTACATCCAATCACCGATTGATACTTCTAACTTGATAGTTATTACACCACTGGCAGTGTCACCACAGTGAAATTCGCCAGTAATACTTGCTGATACCTGTATGCAAATGTTCACTAAGGCATCTTTTACTATTTTATATTTAGCTGATTACGAAATTAATATATTCCAACTGCCATGATAACAAAGGAAACTTCTTATTTCTGAAATGACTGCTCAAAACTGTTCACCTTCCGCAGGTACTTCATGGTCCTGGCAGTGTCGGACCTGCTGGTGTGTGTCTTTTACATTCCAATCATCACCACCATCAATGGCTGCGTCTTCTCCTCGTACAATGAGGCTCGTTACTTCGCTCACTTCGGATGGTCTCTGGTCACTTTCAGTCAATCTGTTGGCACCTACGTCATCGTGTGGCTGGCAATGGATCGCTTCATGGCCGTATGGACGCCTCGTCTCTATCCTAGGATCCAAAAGATGCCAAAATTTATGTGGATCAGAATTGTGGTGACTGTTGTTCTGTGCTTCCTGATCCACCTGGAATATATGGTACATGTAAAGATCTCTTGCGTAAATGATATTGATGTTATTTGGACTAATGAGACATGCCCTTCTCATAACAACACTCTCAGCAACGACGTGAACTGCTTGAACAATACCTGGGTCGTCACTGATGCATACCATTACATGTACAAAAAGAATTGGCACGAAATTGTTCGAATATTTTACGCCTTGATGGTGAGGTGGCTGCCGTGTAGTCTGATGCTGGTGTTCAATGCCAGCCTGGTGGTCGGAGTTGTGAAGCAACGTATCAGATTTCCTGCCACAAAGAAAAGGAGAAGTGGGGAGAAAGCTCTCGCTATCATCACCATCGCCATGACTGCCTCCTACATTATCCTAACCCTTCCCATCACCATCTACCTCACTTACTATGCTGAACTGCTCCCCAACCGCTGCCATTGTGATTATCCCTATGAGCTCTTCCGTCACATTGGCAACACACTTCAGCTCCTGGAACATGTCCTTCACATACTGTTCTTGGTGACCTTGAACCACAAATTCAGGAGGGAACTCAAGATACTTCTGCATTTGGAAGTGAGAACAAAAGAAGGTGATTACAGTACGAGGGATGAAGGCGGAGCGGAGATTGGTAGCAATCTTGGATGATCTCTTTGTGGTGGCGACGCGAGTCTGCGACCTTAACTTTACTCAAGGAGCCAATACACAGTATTGAATACTCCAAGTTTCCAAATGGCAGTCTTATGCATCTGACTCCCTGTCACAGAGAAGGTCATTGTCCTTTTGCATTTTTTGTTTAGAAGTGAATATATGAAAATCAAAGTTTCCCTCCCTCACTGCAAATATTTTGCTAAGGACGCTAACTATATTTTAATCTGTGGGTGAGTGGTGTGAAGCGTGTATTGTGTATGCTTGTGGAACCTATCATAGACAATATTTTACCTCGATTTGTCACAGCAATGTTTAAATTTTTTGTTGGGTGGAGGAGGAGTGTTCTGAGTCTCATCTTGCTCTCTGAATACTTGGACTTACTGATTGAGAGAATTTTGACAACTGTGGTACAGTAAGGGGAACTCTTAAGTTCCTTATTGTTCTTGGTATACTCAGTGGTTTAAAAATTAAAAACAGTGATTGAAAAACTTCTGGTGCCCTGGAATGAATGCCATGCTGGGAAAGGTTTGTGTACGTACATAGTCTCCTATTTCTTTGACCCACTAATAAGGTGATGAAGCTAATGATTGATATGTGTGAAGAATATGGAAATTAAGTTAATCTACTTATTATTCCAATAAAATGTGTCTTGTTATAGTCAGGCGACAATGAAGAACAATCTTGGAATTTCTAGGCAGAACCACCATTAAATATTAAAATACTATACTTAAGTTCGTTAATTGTTTGGTTTAAATGTTTACAGTTTGTCCTATCATAAGGCTTATTTTTTAACACTGAAATTATGTGATATAAAAATTCCTCTTTGGAATTTCTATCTTCTGAAAAGTATAAGAAGTAGAAAGATATACATCTTCTTCAGCTTATTTAAAATAACAGAAATTTCGGAATCATAACTGTATCATCAGGGCTAAAAAGAAAATATACCACACAAAATTACGTAAAACAATAATATATATAAATCAGAATTATATACTCATTAAATAATTAAGATTACCCAAAATTAAAAACAAACTATATACAAAATAAAAGAAATAGATATACACTAGAAGAGAATTATAAACAACTCAACAACTTCAAAGATGACGACAATTAATGAGTAAACAAACTGAGCCGAGGAGTCAACCCGTCACCAGACCACAACCAGTCCTCGGACCAAGTCCATTCTGTCCAGCGGTCGACCCCAACGACGCATTTATCAATTTGAACATGTTTATTCAAAACAGAACTTTTATCCAATATAAATTAATATTAGTATATATTTGCATATTTAGGCACTGGTTAGGTTAGGTGTTTAGGTTCTGTTGGAGATTATTTGTATTTGTAGTACGTGGGTGAAGCATTTATCAACCCGTCCTCGACTCAAGTCTATTACATCCAGCGGTCGACCCCACAGTTGCATTCATAAATTTTTACACGCTATTTACTCAAAACGGGAATTCCCTCAAATATAAATGAATATTATAATATATTAGCATATTGTGCATATATATACACCGGTTAGGTTAGGTGTTTAGGTTCTATTTGCAATCGATTATTTGTATTTGTAGTACGTGGGTGAAGCATTTACAGCGTTGTGGCTCGAACAAAAGTCGTCAGTGAAGCACTTGTTCCGGAAGTGTTCGAACGTCATCAGTTAAGTCGTGTATAAACCGTTTTTCATTCATAAACAGGGTGTTATGCGGGTGCATGGAATCACTTTTTGCCTTTTTATATGTGGACGGGCTACGACAACTCTTAGGCGTTCAACTCAGGTCTCAGTCTGCCTATTGAGATCCTTTTCAAGATGATGAGTTCAGTGAGGGACCAACTAGAAAGCAGAACAGCGAAATCGCTGTCAGTGAAAGTATGGCCGCTTTTCCTCGTTGTGATCTCTTAAAGCAGAGGATACACATTGCCTAAGAGGCAGATCGGTATGGTAAGAAATTCCCATATATTTTGTGTATAGTTTAGGCTTTTAATTTATAATAACTTTAATTCATTTAGTGAGTATATAATTATGATTTACGTATTAATGTTTTAAGTTACTCTTGCGTTGTACGTATTTCTTTTTTTATCACTGATGATGGAGTTATGGCTCCTAAACGTCTGTTAGTTTAAATACATTGAAAATGTATATATTTTCACTTTTCATAATTATATATATAGGGACAATGGGGTTTGAAAGTACGTCTGTTAGTGATTATAAGTGTTATATATATATATATATATATATATATATATATATATATATATATATATATATATATATATATATATATATATATATGTGTGTGTGTGTAAGTCGAAAAGAAATTAGCACGTTATGAGTAATATGAAACTTTATAACCACGAAAGGAAAATGATATAAGAAATTACTTAAGTACTTTTGTGTAAAAATCTAATCATCAAAATGATTTGTTGATTTACACAAAAGTGCTTAAAAATTTTTGTTTCATTTTCCCCTTCGTAGTTATTATACGTCTTCATATAAATATTGATGAACCATGAACAAGTAATATATTCATCAGTATTCATAGTGAACTTTTATAGATATGGGCTAGCTATTTCCTTCTAATAAAACATGCAAAGAATTACAGTTTTAGGTTCTATGAGGTATTATTATGTAAGCTGTGTTTACAAACAGAACCAAAGAGTTAAAACTCAACCCTCTCCGGCATAATTAGGTGATTACTCAAGCTCTCTTTTGGTACACACTAGTCTAGTATCTTAAGATACATAACTTACCCAACTATCTACTGACATTTGTATAACCTTGTTCATGTGGCGACTTTTTTAGCTGGAGCTCTCGTTAGTACCGAAGACGATTAGATATAAGTAGTTGTCTGCAGCTAGTTTAGTATAAACAAAAAATCTAGTTATTACAAATGTATACTTAGCTTTCTTTGAGTATGTATTATCTAGCTCCTGGTATCCCTTTTCAGTGGAAATGCCGTTCTCAGAATTTAATTCGTACAAATAGTATATTGTACTAGGCTTTGGTGTTTTCATATGTTTCGGATTTAGCAAAAAGCAGCCACAATCTGGTTTTGAACTCCACCCACCATTATTGTAAAGCTTATATAATATGGACTCAGTAAATGAAACCATAGACTAAGTTCAATTCAGAGATTAAGGTTAAATTAGGAAATGCACCCAGACTTCGCAGCCTATCTGAAATTAGAACCCATGACCGTTTAGTTGCTACATACAACAATCCATCAAAGAAACCGCTCACAGGGCACTGGTTTACGATCTCCCTCTATTGGTTTCAGGTCATAAGTTCCAAGGATTGAGTTAATTAAGATCGTTAGGATTTAGGGAGCACACCAGTTGGTTGTCACAACTGATTTAGCCATATTTTCTTGGCCAAATTAACGGTATAGACGTGGGATCACTGAATTGTTTCATGCGTAGGTTAGACATATAAATATATATATGAGTTTGGGTGAATATAATTACAATCTGCTTTGTATGGAACAATAGGCCTACTGCAGTTTTCTTAATTCTTATGGTCTCATGTTCATATATTCATCTGCCGCCATCTGTTGGTCACAGGAAGTGACAAGTTTCCGGTACATGGCAAAGACATCCCTTTAACATTTATCTCAGCTTTTGAGATTTGGACACATCCAGTGAGTCAAGAATGTCTTAATGATGACATCCTGTTATGTTCTGTCTCAACGCACACTCACTTAGCTAACTATTTAAATGGGATATTCCTATGGGGTAATAAATACTAACTATTCATAATATGGCGCATCTCAGTCCCTTTGAGACACATTAGTTAAATCTGTGCGGTAGGTTTGGTTATCTTAATACGATGTATTATTCTCAAACATGGGAAATATTAAATTTGAAAACTATTTGAGTATCCCCTAGCATTTCATTTACACAAAATCAAATTCTACAGACCGTTTAAAAGAAAATGAGTTAAGGATAGACTTTTTATATTTTACACTAACCATTTATAATGCAATAATGTCATAATTTGAGAATATTCTCTTTTCAAACCAGAGGTTCACTTGCCAGTTTACAAGTAGACTATTATTGGAACCATAATAAGCTTTCAGATCATCACAAATAACTAGATAAATATCCAGGTGTTTAACCAAGGCGGGTGACCGAACATTAGACGCACTTCACCCTGAGAGCACAATGGGTTGTGAAAGTGTCTGTGTTGGTGATTAAGTGATACAGTCTTGCAAAGTCAATAGCAACTTAATTATTAATTAGTTCCTGAAATTATTCGGCATAATTGAATGCAAAAATTAAGGAACTCTATCAGATTTAGAGACATTCGTTGCTGTGTATTTTACGACTTTCAGACACTCAAAATGGGTTATATCCAGTTGGTGGGCTCATCTTGCTTAACTTGGCAGACTTTAAACATATTGTTTAGTGTACCTTTCGCTGTTTCTGTTGGTTACATTTTCTTCAAAGTGTTTTCTATGTGTCAGTTACGAGAGTTCTACCTGTTATCTCAATGACGGCGGCTTGGTCTGCATATACTAATCAGTTCCCAAACTCCGAAGCGCTACTAGGTCGTTCTAAACCCAAGGTTATTATTGCATTCGATGACCTCAGTGCCCTTAGGAGCTATTAAACTGTTTAGTAATTACCGACTAAGCCGTTGCGATCGAGATGTGAGGCACAGTTCTTATAAGCAGGAATATAAGTGCTCTGGGAATCCGGTCGCTGTGGATCGGTATGACATTTCCTCCACAGGAGGTAATCCTCGTCCAGGTAGTTTTGATAACAATTAGTTTATTTAGATCAGCGTTATTATCCAAGCACGCGAGCCATATGCTCGTCCAAGATTCGGCCAACTCTGCCAACCCTCAGTCTGTGCTCGTCCAAACTGCACCCGTCTCCACCAGCTGGCCATCTGTTTGTATTTCAAGAACGTGAACGAAGCAATTTGATAAGTGGGCTTAGAATAGACCATCAATAGAATGTAGACCCGGAGGGGGTTCACGATGTATTCGTACATAATAATGATTCTTAGGTTCTTGTACAGTCACTAGCACGCATAGCGTTTCGGGCAAGTCCTTATATATCTTATTTTTCACACACACACATCCCCAGGAAGCAGTCCGTAGCAGCTGTCTAACTCCCAGGTATCTGTTTAGTACTAGGTGAACAGATGCATCAGGATGAAAAAAACTCTGCCCATTTGTTTCCGCCTCCGCCGGGGATCAAACCCGGACCCTTAGGACTACGAACGCCGAGCGCTGGCCACTCAGCCGTCAAGCTCCCCTAACTAAGAGGCAATAGACTGCAGTTGAGTGGAATTACAGAAACTGGGAGGAATTAAATCCCGTTTGAAAGGAGATTTTCCCCAGTTTAGGAATAATGATACACCCAAGCTTAGGGGAATTACACCTTAAATTACAAGAATTACACCTAAAATTACAAGAATTACACCTAAAATTACAGGAATTTCCCCTTAAATTACAGGAATTACACTGCATGCGCTATATCATTAAGTGAAAAAACAAACTTAAATATTTCTAGGCCTAGTATAGCCCACACATGTACTATTTTAGGCCTCAGATATCGTGTATAAGGCCTAGGGAGATTAGGTTAGTTTAGTTTTTTCTTTGCAACTGAAGTTGAAAATAGTTTTCCGGTTTGTCCAACTCAATAGTGCCAACTTCTACATTCTAATTTCGTTGTACGTCGGGGAGCCGGTCGGCCGAGCGGACAGCACACTGGACTTGTGATCCTGTGCTCCCGGGTTCGATCCCGGGCGCCAGCGAGAAACAATGGGCAGAGTTTCTTTCACCCTATGCCCCTGTTACCTAGCAGTAAATAGGAACCTGGGTGTTAGTCAGCTGTCACGGGCTGCTTCCTGAGGGTGGAGGCCTGGTCGAGGACCGGGCCGCGGGGACACTAAAAGCAAAGCCCCGAAATCAACTCAAGATAACTCAAGAAGATAAGATGCTCTAGCATGCGTTGTACTCTGCTCATACAGTGTACTCTACACATGCGTTGTACTACACAAGAACAATGACCACAAACACGTGCCCCAAACACCTGCCCCATACACCTGGCCTCAAGATCATGCCAAACCTGCACCCAGTATAAGAAAATATTAAGACCTGCAATGAGATCGAATTTGCATCCTTGGACATCTTTGCCATCCAGTATGGCAAAGATACCTTTGCCATACTGACTGGGCAGTCCATAAGGGACGCAGGTTCGATCCCATAATAGGACCTGATGAAGTCTAGAGATGTGAGTTCTTACACCCATCGTACGACCTCCGGAGTCTATGAACGGGAATTCGATCACATCGTAACGACCTGGGGAGTCCACAGGGTGCAGGTTGACTACCATCATTCGACCTAGGTAGCCCAGATATGCAGGTTCGATCCCATTCCATAGCCTCACTATTTTATCATTGCTGCATCACGTTATAGTGAGTTCGTACAAGCATTGTGGAGGCTGCCACTTGCCATGACAGTATATTAAGGCACCAGAACCATCACCTATTCACTCGTAGGAAGAAAAATAGCTTTCATTAAGAAACAGTCAAGTTCAAACATTTTATTTATACAACTTTTCAAAGATTTTGAAAGTTCCTTTATGGCTGAGAAGGGAACAGCTGTAATGCAAGAGAAGTAATAGTAAGAATATAGATTGACCTTGAAACAAAACTTGAATTAGTTGGCACCTTAAACTATATAATGAGGAACGTTGGGGGATATATAGGACAGGTGTGTAACCATGGAGATGGTACACTGGCGGGGACAGGTGTGTATCCATGGTACACTGGGGGGGGTCAGGTGTGTAACCATGGTACACCGGGGGGACAGGTGTGTAACCATGGTACACTGGGGGGGACAGGTGTGTAACAATGGTACACTGGGGGGGGTCAGGTGTGTAACCATGGTACACTGGGGGGGACAGGTGTGTAACAATGGTACACTGGCGGGGTCAGGTGTGTAACCATGGAGATGGTACACTGGGGGGACAGGTGTGTAACCATGGTACACTGGCGGGGACAGGTGTGTATCCATGGTACACTGGGGGGTCAGGTGTGTAACCATGGTACACTGGGGGGACAGGTGTGTAACAATGGGACACTGGGGGGTCAGGTGTGTAACCATGGAGATGGTACACTGGGGGGACAGGTGTGTAACCGTGGTACACTGGCGGGGTCAGGTGTGTAACCATGGTACACTGGGGGAGACAGGTGTGTAACCATGGTACACAAGCGGGGACAAGTGTGTAACCATGGTACACAAGCGGGGACAAGTGTGTAACCATGGTACACAAGCGGGGACAAGTGTGTAACCATGGTACACAAGCGGGGACAAGTGTGTAACCATGGTACACAAGCGAGGACAGGTGTGTAACCATGGTACACAAGCGGGGACAAGTGTGTAACCATGGTACACAAGCGAGGACAGGTGTGTAACCATGGAGACGGTACAGGTGTGTAACAAGAGAAATATCACCATGCCCACAGATGTGAGAAGATTGCTTTTCGTTCTGTATTTGTTTCTGTATTTGTATTTGTTTATTTGGGGGTCACGCATTTGCGCAACCAGTTACGAAACCTGTACATCTTTCAGCAATGATGAAGGCAGTATTTACATGTATTAAACAGCTTGCGACCTTGGAAACCTTCACAACCCAAGGTTGTTATTGTTATTGTTATAAACAACATCGTAGTGCTTCGGAATTAAAAAAAAACTGTTTAGTAAATGTAAACACAGCCGCCATGATTGAAGAATGATATAAAGGTTTCGTAAGTAGATCCATAAATCCTTGATGAATCCAGGCCCTTAATTGCTTAAGATAATTGGTGGTGACGATCTGTTGTCTCAGATGGTGATGATTCCAGCACCTTGTGACGATTAACTAAAAAAAATTGGAATATAAACCAATATAATTGAAGTAGCTCAGTCGATAGAGTTTCGGCCACACACCCACACGCGTGGGGGTCCAGGGTTCGAGTCTCCTACAGCCCAGGTGCATGGAACGTTATAATTGCCTCCCATTAACTAGTTATAAGGTGCTTTTTTTCCATACGGTCCACCAGCAGTGAGTAGGGAATATATACGTGGGATAATAGACAAATAATACAATAGATTCACTTTATTTCTTATAGCCCAAGGTAAACATTGGAATAAGGTATAAACTGCTTGTTGGGTCATACGAGGCAGCTTCTATCTATATCCACCCAAACTCACTCGCATACATGTCTAACCTACACTTGAAACAGTACAGCGATTCTACGTTTGTTCCATCAAATCAACAATCGCGTTTCTTAACCAGTATTTACCCAGGCATTTTCTGAATCTAAGGTTATCCAATTTATATATATTGATTCGAGTTGTATTTTGTGTTAATATATTTAATACCTTATTTATGTCCCATTTACGAACACATTTTTGAATTAATTGCTAGTTACATAGTGGAGTAGGAGAGAGATGCTTCATATATAATGGCTGGTATACCCACTATGCTGACAACATAGCACCTAACACAGCTGGTATATCCACTATGCTGACAATATAGCACCTAACACGGCTGGTATACCCACTATGCTGACAACATAGCACCTAACACAGCTGGTATACCCACTATGCTGACAACATAGCACCTAACACAGCTGGTATACCTACTATGCTGACAACATAGCACCTAACACAGCTGGTATACCTACTATGCTGACAACATAGCACCTAACACAGCTGGTATACCCACTATGCTGATAACATAGCACCTAACACGGCTGGTATACCCACTATGCTGACAACATAGCACCTAACACGGCTGGTATACCCACTATGCTGATAACATAGCACCTAACACGGCTGGTATACCCACTATGCTGACAACATAGCACCTAACACGGCTGGTATGCGTGCTGGTGGCCACAACACAACATTTCTACCGAGGTCGTACCTGTCGGCTCCCACGGTTCACCACACAGTTTGGAATAGACGAAAACCTGTTGGATATATCATAGCATAAGTAGTGGAAAGTTGGACATTTGGCATGTTTTGAGACGTTTTACACTCAGTGGGACATCAGGAACTATCTGGCGGGAGCTCCAAGTCGATACGACTATATGGCACTTGGATGGGATCAGGATAAGGATTAGGGATGGGACCGGGGGGATGCGGGGATTGAACGCCGAGCTGCATGAATCGAGACTGACGCTCTGCCGTCCACCCCATCATATCTTCAATCTCTATCTTACTGGATATTAATTTATCAATTTATATACAATTCATGCATTGAATGTATATCATCAAGTGGGACTCACGTATTCATTTTCCACTTGAATGTGTAGATTGTAGCAGAGAAGTTGCCCGAGGGAGGTGTCACTTCCTTCAGGGACGGAGTCGAGGTCCCCGCCGGTGCTGAAGGCATCGAACTCCTCGGAGCAGGCGGCCCAGCAGGCCTCGTGGTCGTCGCACCTGGAGGGTAGCGCCTCGTGGGTTGGGGTCGCCTTGGCCAGTCACACTCATCCCCAGGACACACTCACTCCTCCAGGACACACTCACTCCTCCAAGACACACTCACTCGTCTAGGACACACTCCTCTAGGACACAGTCACTCCTCTAGGACACACTCACTCCTCTAGGACACACTCCTCTAGGACACACTCACTCCTCTAGGACACACTCACTCCTCTAGGACACATTCACTCCTCTAGGACACACTCACTCCTCTAGGACACACTCCTCTAGGACACAGTCACTCCTCTAGGACACACTCCTCTAGGACACAGTCACTCCTCTAGGACACACTCACTCCTCTAGGACACACTCCTCTAGGACACAGTCACTCCTCTAGGACACACTCACTCCTCTAGGACACACTCCTCTAGGACACAGTCACTCCTCTAGGACACACTCACTCCTCTAGGACACACTCCTCTAGGACACACTCCTCTAGGACACACTCACTCCTCTAGGACACACTCCTCTAGGACACACTCCTCCACGACACACTCACCCCAGGACACATCAGGACATACTCACCCTAGGACACACTCACCCTAGGACAACCCAGGACACACTCACCCTAGGACACCCCAGGACACACTCACCCCAGGACACACTCACCCCAGGACACACACACTAGGACACACACTCACCCCAGCACACACCAGGACACACTCACCCCAGGACACACACACTAGGACACACACTCACCCCAGGACACACTCTCACCCCAGCACACACCAGGACACACTCACCCCAGGACACACTCACTCCAGGACACACTCACCCCAGGACACATCAGGACACACTCACCCCAGGACACTCTAGGACACACCCCAGGACACACCCCAGGACACACTCACTCCAGGACACACTCACCCCAGGACACATCAGGACACACTCACCCAAGGACACACTCACCCAAGGACACACCAGGACACACTCACCCCAGGACACACCAGGACACACTCACTCCAGGACACACTCACCCCAGGACACACCAGGACACACTCACCCCAGGACACACTCACCCCAGGACACACCCCAGGACACACCAGGACACACTCACTCCAGGACACACTCACCCCAGGACACACTCCAGGACACACTCACCCCAGGACACACCAGGGCACACACCCAGGACACCCAGGACACACCAGGACACACTCACTCCAGGACACACTCACCCCAGGACACACCAGGACACACTCACCCCAGGACACTCCAGGACACACTCCAGGACACACTCACTCCAGGACACACTCACCCCAGGACACATCAGGACACACCCAAGGACACACTCACCCCAGGACACACTCACCCCAGGACACACCAGGACACACTCACCCCAGGACACTCCAGGACACACTCACTCCAGGACACACTCACCCCAGGACACACCAGGACACACTCACCCCAGGACACCCCAGGACACACACACCCCAGGACACACTCACCCCAGGACACACTCACCCCAGGACACACACACCAGGACACACACTCACCCCAGGACACACTCTCACCCCAGCACACACCAGGACACACTCACCCCAGGACACCCCAGGACACACTCACCTCAGGACACCCCACGACACACTCACCTCAGGACACCCCCCAGGACGCACTCACCCCAGGACACCCCAGGACACACTCACCTCAGGACACCCCCCAGGACACACTCACCCCGACACGTAGGTCGTGTGGAGTTCGTACACAGGCGTCTCGTGATGGTTCTCTGGGACGAAGAGACCACAACGACACGGAGCCGTCTGGCCGGCCACGCTGGGGCGGAGAGGCGTAGTTAGCTTCAGTAGCACGGTGTAAGGACCACCACCAACACTAATACTAGCACACAGTAGCAATTACATAACAGGAACTATAACAATGGGTGGACCTAAGATAATAGTGACAGTCATTTACAACCCTCCCCTAAATGACAGAAGACCTAGACAGGAGTTTGATAGGAACAACATGGCAACTATTAATATAATAGAGAGAGCAGCTTCAGTTGCCTGCAGGAATGGCTCAAGACTCTTAATCATGGGTGATTTCAACCATGGAAAGATAGACTGGGAGAATGGGGACCCACATGGTGGTGCAGATACGTGGCGAGCTAAACTCTTGGAAGTGGCAACAAGGAATTTTCTGAGCCAGCATGTCAAGGAACCCACAAGAATGAGAGGCAATGATGAACCAGCTAGACTCGACTTAATATTCACCCTAAATGAGTCAGAAATAAGGGAAGTCAAAGTTGAAGCCCCCATAGGAATGAGTGACCACAGTGTACTGACCTTTGAGTACTTGGTGGAGGTAGGGATAACCTATCCAAGGATGGGAGTGGAGGGGAAAAGACTGAATTACCGAAGAGGAAAATATGACGAGATGAGGAACTTCCTAATGGGAATACCATGGGAAACAGAACTTAGAGACAAGAATGTGCAGGTCATGATGGATATTGTCACCCAAAAGTGCCAGGAAGCTGCAGACAGGTTTATCCCCATCCAAAAGGAGAAAAACGAAAAACAACAGAAAAACCCATGGTTCAACCAGGAATGTAAGGTAGCGAAACAACTGAGTAAAAGAACATGGAGAAACTACAGAAATAACAGAACACCAGAGAGCAGGGAGAGGTACCAGAGGGCCAGAAATGAGTACATCAGAGTGAGGAGGGAAGCAGAGAGACAGTTTGAAAATGACATCGCGAGTAAAGCCAAGACCCAACCAAAGCTGCTCCACAGCCATATCAGGAGGAAAACAGCAGTGAAGGAACAAGTGATGAAGCTGCGGAAAGGGGAGAACAGATACACAGAGAATGACAAGGAGGTGTGTGAAGAACTCAACAAGAGATTCCAGGAGGTCTTCACAATAGAACAAGGAGAAGCCCCTGCACTAAATGAGGAGGCGGCAACCTTGGAAACCTTGGAGGAATTTGACCTCACCAGTGATGAGGTCAAAAGGTGTCTGCTGGAGCTAGATGTGACAAAGGCTGTTGGGCCTGATAGAATCTCACCATGGATACTAAAGGAAGGTGCAGAAGCACTAAGTGTGCCACTCTCTATGGTGTATAACAGGTCACTGGAAACAGGAGACTTACCAGAAAGTTGGAAGACAGCTAACGTGGTCCCAATATACAAAAAGGGTGACAGGCAAGAGGCACTGAATTACAGGCCAGTTTCCTTAACTTGTATACCATGCAAGGTGCTGGAGAAGATCGTGAGGAAAAGGCTCGTAGAGCATCTGGAGGGAAATAACTTTGTAACGCACCACCAACATGGGTTCAGAGATGGTAAATCGTGCCTCACAGGGTTAATAGAATTTTATGACCAGGCAACGAAAATTAGGCAGGAAAGAGAAGGGTGGGCCGACTGCATTTTCCTGGATTGCCAAAAAGCCTTCGACACAGTACCCCATAAAAGGCTGTTAAAAAAGTTGGAGCAACAGGCAGGAGTAAAAGGGAAGGTGCTCCAGTGGATAAGGGAGTACTTAAGCAACAGGAAACAGCGAGTAACGGTGAGGGGGAAGACATCAGAGTGGCGAGATGTCACCAGCGGAGTCCCACAGGGCTCAGTACTTGGACCCATCCTGTTTCTAATATATGTGAACGATCTTCCAGAGGGTATAGACTCATTCCTCTCGATGTTTGCTGATGATGCAAAAATTATGAGAAGAATCAAGACGGATGAAGATAGACAGAGACTACAGGATGACCTGGATAAACTGGAGGAATGGTCTAGAAAATGGCTGCTGAAGTTCAACTCTGGAAAGTGTAAGGTGATGAAATTAGGCGAAGGGAGCAGGAGGCTGAACACAAGGTATCATCTGGGAGGGGAAATCCTGCAAGAATCAAATAGAGAGAAGGATCTGGGGGTTGATATCACACCGAACTTGTCCCCAGAGGCCCACATCAAAAGAATATCATCAGCGGCATATGCTAGACTGGCCAACATAAGAACTGCCTTCAGAAACTTGTGTAAGGAATCTTTCAGAACCCTGTATACCACTTATGTAAGACCAATCCTGGAGTATGCAGCTCCAGCCTGGAGTCCATACCTAGTTAAACACAAGACAAAGTTAGAGAAGATTCAGCGGTATGCCACCAGGCTCGTCCCGGAACTGAGAGGATTGAGCTACGAGGAAAGGCTAAAGGAGCTGAACCTCACATCGCTGGAAAACAGAAGAGTAAGGGGAGACATGATAACCACCTACAAAATTCTCAGGGGAATTGACAGGGTGGACAAAGACAAACTCTTCAGCACGGGTGGGACACGAACAAGGGGACACAGGTGGAAACTTAGTACCCAGATGAGCCACAGAGACGTTAGAAAGAATTTTTTCAGTGTCAGAATAGTTAATAAATGGAATGCACTAGGAAGTGATGTGGTGGAGGCTGACTCCATACACAGTTTCAAATGTAGATATGATAGAGCCCAGTAGGCTCAGGAATCTGTACACCAGTTGATTGACAGTTGAGAGGCGGGACCAAAGAGCCAAAGCTCAACCCCCGCAAGCACAATTAGGTGAGTACAATTAGGTGAGTACAGTAGCACGGTGTAAGGAGCACCACCACCACTAATACTAGCACACAGTAGCACGGTGTAAGGAGCACCACCAACACTAATACTAACACACAGTAGCACGGTGTAAGGAGCACCACCACCAACACTAATAATAACACACAGTAGCACGGTGTAAGGAGCACCACCACCACTAATACTAGCACACAGTAGCACGGTGTAAGGAGCACCACCAACACTAATACTAACACACAGTAGCACGGTGTAAGGAGCACCACCACCAACACTAATAATAACACACAGTAGCACGGTGTAAGGAGCACCACCACCACTAATACTAGCACACAGTAGCACGGTGTAAGGAGCACCACCAACACTAATACTAACACACAGTAGCACGGTGTAAGGAGCACCACCACCAACACTAATAATAACACACAGTAGCACGGTGTAAGGAGCACCACCACCACTAATACTAGCACACAGTAGCACGGTGTAAGGAGCACCACCAACACTAATACTAACACACAGTAGCACGGTGTAAGGAGCACCACCACCAACACTAATACTAACACACAGTAGCACGGTGTAAGGAGCACCACCAACACTAATACTAACACACAGTAGCACGGTGTAAGGAGCACCACCAACACTAATAATAACACACAGTAGCACGGTGTAAGGAGCACCACCACCACTAATACTAGCACACAGTAGCACGGTGTAAGGAGCACCACCACCAACACTAATAATAACACACAGTAGCACGGTGTATGGAGCACCACCAACACTAATAATAACACACAGTAGCACGGTGTAAGGAGCACCACCACCAAAGCTAATAATAACACACAGTAGCACGGTGTAAGGAGCACCACCACCACTAATACTAGCACACAGTAGCACGGTGTAAGGAGCACCACCACCAACACTAATACTAACACACAGTAGCACGGTGTATGGAGCACCACCACCAACACTAATACTAACACACAGTAGCACGGTGTAAGGAGCACCACCAACACTAATAATAACACACAGTAGCACGGTGTAAGGAGCACCACCAACACTAATACTAACACACAGTAGCACGGTGTAAGGAGCACCACCACCAACACTAATAATAGCACACAGTAGCACGGTGTAAGGAGCACCACCAACACTAATAATAACACACAGTAGCACGGTGTAAGGAGCACCACCACCACCACTAATAATAACACACAGTAGCACGGTGTAAGGAGCACCACCAACACCACTAATAATAACACACAGTAGCACGGTGTAAGGAGCACCACCACCACCAACACTAATACTAACACACAGTAGCACGGTGTAAGGAGCACCACCACCAACACTAATACTAACACACAGTAGCACGGTGTAAGGAGCACCACCAACACTAATACTAGCACACAGTAGCACGGTGTAAGGAGCACCACCACCAACACTAATAATAACACACAGTAGCACGGTGTAAGGAGCACCACCAACACTAATAATAACACACAGTAGCACGGTGTAAGGAGCACCACCACCACCACTAATACTAACACACAGTAGCACGGTGTAAGGAGCACCACCAACACTAATACTAACACACAGTAGCACGGTGTAAGGAGCACCACCACCACTAATACTAACACACAGTAGCACGGTGTATGGAGCACCACCACCAACACTAATACTAACACACAGTAGCACGGTGTAAGGAGCACCACCAACACTAATAATAACACACAGTAGCACGGTGTAAGGAGCACCACCAACACTAATACTAACACACACACAGTATAATCACACTAACGTGACGTGTCAATGAGAAAATTTATGGAAGCCTCAGAAAACCCTTGTGAGTTCAGTAGAAGTCCAGGTTGGTATCCTTTTTACCATGTCGTGGCCTAGTAACTCACACCCCCCCCCCCCCCGCATAGGTTCGAACCCTCTGAATTCTCTCAATAATAATAATAATTAATAGTAATTTATTCAGGTAAAAGTAAATACATAGACAATAAGTTTCAAACAGAATGTTGGATTTCTAGATGGCATATACTAGTATATACTATGCCAGAAGCCACTAATACGCACAGCGTTTCGACAAAGGTGTGGGGAAAACACACGCACGGGCTCACCATAGCCCGTGCTACTCGTAACTTTTATTCCAAGTAGCTAAATCTAAAACAACTTAAAAATTAAGACTTAAAAAGTAATTGAGATCAAAAGCATGAACTGAACTGAAACAGGAGAAAAAAGACAATAATTACACGTTGAATTCAACAGCAAAAATGGCAACAGAACAACAGATAGCAATTTTAACTAAATAAACAGAACGGACTACAGTTTTCTTTAAATTTTATATATAGCAGACATCAGCAGCGTTATCAGTCATTAATCATTAATGATTGATAATAGCAAGACATAGTTGACATTGAAGAGGTGAGGTAGGTTACATGGAGTTGATAAGGTAATACTTTAGTTTTTCTCTTAAACTGGTTGAGAGAGGAACAGTCTTTGACGTGCAGAAAAGAGTAGTACAAAAACGGCAGCAACAGTAATGTTACCAGTAACAACAGCGGCAGCTAGGAGAAGTAGAGGAGACCAAGGGTAGTAGAGGAGACCATGGGTAGTAGACCATGGGGAGACCAAGTGTAGTATGGGTTGTAGGGGAGACCATGGGTAGTAGGGGAGACCATGGGTTGTAGGGGAGACCATGGGTAGTAGGGGAGACCATGGGTAGTAGAGGAGACCAAGGGTAGTAGAGGAGACCATGGGTAGTAGAGGAGACCATGGGTAGTAGAGGAGACCAAGGGTAGTAGAGGAGACCATGGGTAGTAGAGGAGACCAAGGGTAGTAGAGGAGACCATGGGTAGTAGAGGAGACCATGGGTAGTAGAGGAGACCATGGGTAGTAGAGGAGACCATGGGTAGTAGAGGAGACCATGGGTAGTAGAGGAGACCAAGGATAGTAGAGGAGACCATGGGTAGTAGAGGAGACCAAGGGTAGCAGAGGAGACCATGGGTAGTAGAGATCATGGGGTAGTAGAGGAGACCAAGGATAGTAGAGGAGACCATGGGTAGTAGAGGAGACCATGGGTAGTAGAGGAGACCAAGGATAGTAGAGGAGACCAAGGATAGTAGAGGAGACCATGGGGTAGTAGAGGAGACCAGTAGAGGAGGGGTAGTAGAGGAGACCATGGGTAGTAGAGGAGACCATGGGTAGTAGAGGAGACCATGGGTAGTAGAGGAGACCATGGGGTAGTAGAGGAGACCATGGGTAGTAGAGGAGACCAAAGGTAGTAGAGGAGACCAAGTGTAGTAGAGGAGACCAAAGGTAATAGAGCAGACGAAGGGAAGTAGAGGAGCCAAAAAATGATGCTTAAGAGACCCAGGCAAGAGGAAGTACTTGTAGAGGCACTCACAGGGCCAGCAGAGGCAGCAGCACGATCAGGCTACAAAACATGACGAACCTAAGAGAAAAAAATAATTATTCCCATCGTTATTAGGATCAATATTTACAAACTTCAGATCACTTACCAACACATTTCAACGACTCGGATAGCATTGAGAAATATCCCCGCGAATAATTTGGTTTGAGACACTTAAATTGATATAAGTTCTTAGGATACGTTAAACAAATTTAAACAGTTGCCTTACTCCTAGCCGAGGGAGCCTATCCTATTACTTCATGAACAGTGGTATAGGGCGAAAGGAAATGTGGACTATGGTTTCTGTCCTGACTGGGTCTCGAACCCCGGTTTCCTCATTTGTGAGGCGAGGATGTAGACCACTGTGCATCAAAAACCTAGTTCACGAGTCCTGTCAATAGAAATCTGCAATTTAGCAATCTAGAAACTATTGTTTACTTGTGTATTCATGGTGGCAGCTAAGCCACAATAACACAGCTGAAACAGACAAAATTTTTAATGAAAGTAACTACGTTTCGGTCTGTCGCGACCTAATAATGAAGGTTCAGGACAGACCGAAACGTTGTGATAATGACTTAACACAAACTAGGAGAAAAGTGAGTAGTTGAAATTCGGACGGCAACTGACCAGGTGATGTTGAGAGCTGAAGTGAAGGACCAAAATCACCTTCACTCTTGATATACCCTCGCTGGTGACAATCACACCCCACCCCCCCTTCCCCATATCCACCCCCCCCCCCCATCCACCCACACGCTAATAGATTGATTGATAAAGATTAAGCAACCCAAGAGGTGGCAGCACCGCTCTTGTGCCAGGTAAATCCATTACGGGTTCACCATGGCCCGTGCTACTTGCCTTGCTCCTGTGCCAAGTAAGTTACGGGTTCACCATAGCCCGTGCTACTCGGAACTTGATCCGAGTAGCTGAATCTATAACAACAACATCCAAGGCATGGGCATGAATAGCCCGTAAGACACGCTAAGGTTACATTATGGGTCATATTGATGGGGCGTTTGTGGAGGAGGATACTACATGTCACCTGAGTGTTACCTTGTGGGGTCATGATGATGGAGGGGGGTGAAGGGGTAGTGTTGAAGGGACAGACAAACAAATTACTCCCTTGTCCACATCTCTCTCCCCTTCCCTCCAGGGGGAAGATCTGAGTGGCATGGGAATCTGCCAGTCTGTGATGTACTGATAGCAGGAAGACAGAGCTAGATGCAGCAATGATAACTCTAAAACCTTATCAAGACAACATTGAACAAAGACTCTTAAGCATTTCGATATCGGGTTCCCATATCTTGAAGTAAACAAAGTTGAGTTGGCTGGGTTATTTAATATATAAAAATCATATTAACAGGCTTTAGTTCCCACATTTACAGTGTTGTCTACGTACATTGTATTGTTAAACTGTATTACATAAGTTTAAGAAAATAAGGGAACCTATAGGATGCCTATTTTTCCCCCATTTGAGGCAGCTCATATTTATGCACATCTAAACATGCTCGCATACATCACCATGATAGTCATATTCATCTGGCATTCATCAACATTATAGTCGTATTCATCCCGCATACAACATTATACAGCCGAAATGAGAAATTTTGTTTAGGTACCAAATATTTGCTGAATGTTTACCAGTGTCAACTAATTTTCAGTTTAAGGGGAGATTATAATAATAATAATATGTGAATAATATGTGAAAACAGGAAAATGCAGAAGGCCTGTAAGGTCATACCAAGCCGGTAATATTTATATCTAAATAAACATTCATATATATATATATATATATATATATATATATATATATATATATATATATATATATATATATATATGTCGTACCTAGTAGCCAGAACGCACTTCTCAGCCTACTATGCAAGGCCCGATTTGCCTAATAAGCCAAGTTTTCTTGAATTAATATATTTTCTCTAATTTTTTTCTTATGCAATGATAAAGCAATGCATTATAAAGCATTATGCAATGATTTCATTATGTATGAGGTCAATTTTTTGTTAATGTAGTTAAAATTAACGCACATATATGACCGAACCTAACCAACCCTACCTAACCTAACCTAACCTAACCTAACCTACCTTTATAGGTTAGGTTAGGTTAGGTGGCAGAAAAAGTTAGGTTAGGTTAGGTAGGTTAGGTAGTCGAAAAACAATTAATTCATGAAAACTTGGCTTATTAGGCAAATCGGGCCTTGCATAGTAGGCTGAGAAGTACGTTCTGGCTACTAGGTATGACATATATGTACATATATATATTAGTATATTTTGGTAGCAGTCTTTCTTGTAAACATATATTATTAAATATGACCGAAAAAGTAAGATTAATAATTCTAACACGAATTTTCTCAATATTTCTTATGTTTCTTATAAATCTGTCCATTTAATAAATGCATAAGATAATTTGTTTATATTTGAGTTAAAACTAACGTAGATATATGACCGAACCTAACCAACCCTACCTAACCTAACCTAACCTAACTTAACCTATTTTACCTAACCTAAACTATCACAACTAAGTTAATAAATTATGGTCTTAATATAAAATAATTATAATAATTCAAATAATTTATTTGGAAAAAAATGATTGAAAATAAAGAAAATCACTCGGCCTATTAGGCAAATCGACCCTTGCATAGTAGGCCGAGAAGTGCGTTCTGGCTACTAGGTACGACATATATATATATATATATATATATATATATATATATATATATATATATATATATATATATATATATATATATATATATATATATATATATATATATATATATATATATATATATATATATATATATATATATATATATATATATATATATATATATATATATATATTTATATATTTAATCACGTTATTCTTGACGCCATTTCAGCAGGAGACACGGAGTTAAATAGAACTTATAATTAGTCCAATATTATTTCCTGACTCACCGGACACATCTGTCGAAGGCGCTTAGATCCAGTTAATCCGGCTGACGCAGAGGCTAAAACTTTCTGGTGTGCTGATGATCTATTAACATCAACCAAAGATGATATTGATAAATTTATAGAAATATATTTGAGAGTTATAGTACCGAATACAGCCTCACATACAATCTGGTATCTTTGCTGTAGTTGCTCTGGCCCTTTTATCGGGTTGACGTGAGATCCCCGATACAGTAGTGTTCAGGGGAAGCCTAGTCCACACTGACGCCTCATCAGTGTGTTGCTATGTAACTGATATTTATATACGGTATCAGTATTCATTCTTTCCTGTTCATTATGTTATGGATTATAATCAGTGCACAGGGCCCAGTCCGTCTTATTACGAGCCTCGTAGTTGTTATTCACTACCTCTATGAGCCTCGTAGTTGTTATTCACTACCTCAACGAGCCTCGTAGTTGTTATTCACTACCTCTACGAGCCTCGTAGTTGTTATTCACTACCTCTACGAGCCTCGTAGTTGTTATTCACTACCTCTACGAGCCTCGTAGTTGTTATTCACTGCCTCTATGAGCCTCGTAGTTGTTATTCACTACCTCTACGAGCCTCGTAGTTGTTATTCACTACCTCTACGAGCCTCGTAGTTGTTATTCACTACCTCTACGAGCCTCGTAGTTGTTATTCACTGCCTCTATGAGCCTCGTAGTTGTTATTCACTGCCTCTATGAGCCTTCTGAGATGCATTTATATGCAAAATAAAAAAATACATGTCATGGATACTCTGAATTATATATTCACATTAAACGTGTTGTATAGTGTCAACCTCAAACAATTAAAACGTACAAAACATGATTAAACACACTAATCATAAACAGAATCTGAATTTATATCTCAAACATTGGCGAATAAAATAATATTTCAGAATGAGAAATCTGTGAGGCTTAGCTCCTGGACTAGCCTCTTTACAATACCATATTATTCATCATACTAACATCCGTATATGTCAACGATCTCAACTATCTGCCTAGTTAGTTAGACTTCCCCCTACGACGCATTTTCAAACAATTTCCACATATTCTAAGTCCCGGAGGATTTTGTAGGTCGTAATCACAGTTCCACATGTCCTGGTAATTTTCCAGTACCGTCAGATCTAGTTCAAGTAGCCTATTGTTTCGTGGCTATGGGGGGGAACCTTGGTTTCTTGGCCCTGTTGAGGCCACTATAAATGGTGGCCCCTCAGGCAAATTCAGGTAAATCCGCAGTCTTCTCACTGATTGACTCTCTGGAGAGAGCGCGTGGTGGAGCTGGGAAACTCTCCCGTGGTGCGGGTCTTGATACTTTGTTGTGATGGCCGCCTCCCGCGGCTGGCGTAGTCCTCCCGGGGAGACCTGCGCACGCGCATCACTACGCACACTGCGCATCCCAACAGCAACAGAGCCATTCCTGAAAGCAGTAACATTGTTATTACTAATTATGCTAATAATATAAATGATCTGAAATAATTATGATACTTCCGGGAGTTGTATAGCTTTTGAGATCTATTAAAATACACCTTTCCGATCCCCCCCCCTTCCCCCTCTGAGAGGGGGAGCGGAGAATTTTTTAATTTTGCCCCGAGGGGCGAGTTTATTGGGCAGCGTCACTCATCTTGTGAGTGGACATACCACCATAGCAACATGTACAACACTCCCCAAAAGGAAGAAAACCCGCTGGGTTGTTCATCCTGTCACTTGTACCCAGACACAGCTGGGACTTGCTTAACTGTCTCAAGTGAACAGCTCCTCAAACAAGAAGATTAACATCTGTCAACCCTTAAAAGCTTACGTTATCTTGCGGGTGCAAAATGGGGAAATCTTTTAAGAACAGTATCAATATTTGACAAATAGTGTTTTCCTAACTCCAACAATGTGGGGTTCATTATTCTACACATATTCCTAATGTCTCTCAGGTGTTCACATTCACGTAGATAGTGGTCAAGGCGGTGTCCCTCACTCTCACCACAAATTCTGCAACTTCGCTGATCAACAGTCGTTTCCATTCCGTATCTCCATGGATATTTGTATCCCAGACGGATTCTCGCAATTACTGATTTTCTCCCTCGTCCTCCTCCTCTTCGGCCATAATGATTGGGATTGCCAGCTGCAACCATGCTGTACCATCGTACAAATTCACTGGTTTGTGCTTCTATCCTCCTTTCCTCAGTTACCTTGTCACGGCGATGTTGCCTGACAATACCTCTAATTTGTAGTAGAGTCTTGGGTATGAAGTATTCAATATGGTCTCCTTCAGCGCCTTCAGCAGCCAGCACATCTGCTCGTTCATTCCCACATTTTCCAACATGGGAGGGGATCCACAGAAACTTGACGACTCTTCCCTGATTGGTAAGTACTCTCACAGCTCTCTTAATTTCAGCGACTGTTGCAAGATTTTCTGCCCGATTTTTATTTAGGCTTTGCAGTGCTTCTTTTGAATCAGTGCAAATCACTGCGCCATTAGTGTTTCGTTCAAGAAACCTTAACGCCATAACAATGGCAGTTAGCTCTGCTTGCGTTGAAGAGGCATTGTTCTCAATACGCGCTTTTTCTTCATTTCTGCGTTGGAAAGTATTATCCTTGATTACCGTGTATGCTGCACCAGCCCTTCCATTGACAGGATCAGATGACCCGTCAGTGTAGATTTGATCTAGTTCATCTCCGGCTTCTTTATAAATTTCCTCGAGATACTTGTGCCTCATTTCTTGTGGTAACATGTTGGATTTTTTCATTGCCATTTCATTGATGATAATCTTGCATGAGTCATCCTCCCAGGGAGGTAACCTCTCTACAGGCAGGAGCTCACGGGCTTGCTCAAGCAGGTGAAGTTCTTCGAGGTAGCAGACTGATCTGTGATGCCATTTTTTGCTTCTCCTGTTTTCCCCTGAAAGTAGCACAGAGCTCAGTTTTTTCTTAGCAATATCATTGTAATGGAGATCTCTGGCTATCCTAATTGCAAGCTTAGCATTCAGCTCATTAATTCGGCTTTTAACACTGGGAAGGGACAACTCCTCTCGTAGATTAGACGTTTTGGCAGTTCTTGGAACTCCAAGAATGATTGTCACGGCTTCATTTTGAATTCTTTCAAGCCTTTTCATATCGCTTTGGGAGTAGGTGCACAGAACTGGTGTGGCATAGTCTATGACGGAGCGCACATAGGCTGTGTACATCATTTTAAGCACGGCAATAGAGGCTCCATGTCCATTCCAGGTCATAGCTTTCAGTGCCCTGAGTCGACTTTTGCATGTTCCTATGAGTTGATTGAGCTCCTCTTTCTTTCCCTTGTTAGAGCCGACAGTGACGCCAAGGTACCGATAGTGGTCAACCCATTCAAGTGTTACACCATTAATTTGCAGTTCTTCATTTGCTCTCCGCTTGTGATGGGAGTATGCCTTCGTGTTGTTTGTGGAGAGAGTGAAACCGAGCTCAATACATTTCCTTCCAAGGAGTTCAATGGACTGTTCAATTTTTCCCAAGGTGGGAGCTTGTATTAGGACATCATCTACATATCCCACTTGTTGTGTTCCTTCAGGAAAATCAATATTTACAATGGCGTTCATAAGTACATTGAATAGTGTAGGGCTTAAGACTCCGCCTTGGGGGATCCCGAGTTCCATATTCATTGTTCTGGAGACTGCTCCATTGAAGCAGACCTTAGCTTTCCTCCCTGTGAGGTAGTCTTCAACCCATTTCATGAGTCTCCCCTTGACACCCATGCATGCAAGCTCGTCCAGGATCGCAATCCCCTGTGCTTTGTCGAAGGCTCCTTTGATGTCAACAAATACAGAGTACCTAGCTGTGTCATTAGCCAAGTAATTAACTATACAATTTGCTGTGCTCCGTCCTTTAACAAATCCATTGACCCCCTCCCCTAACCTGCCTATTTTGTGCAACAGTCGGTTTAGGATGATCCTTTCAAGCATCTAGCAAGTGCATGACATGAGACTGATGGGTCTGTAACTGCCAGGGTCATTAGGCTTCGGTATGGGAACAATTATTGCATGTTTCTATTGTGTGGGGAACACTCCACTTAGGAATGACTTGTTAAACAGGTGGAGTAGTGGATTCCCAGACACTTCACACAGTGCATTGAGTATGTCGTAGGTGACGCCATCTTCACCAGGTGCTGTATTTTTACCCTTTTTCATAGCGCCCCTTGCTTCTTGGGCTGTGATTGGTTCCCCATATTCGTCATCACTAGACAGTGCTCTTGTTATCCTAATTCTTCTGTCAGTATGTCGCAGGAGCTGTTCCCTGCTGATTTCTGCAGGGGAGCAGGATGCTCCCCTGCAGAAGCAAGAGGAGGATGATGATGATGTGAGAGGAGGAGGATGCTGCATCACTCTACTTGTGAATTAGTTCCTCAGCCTTACCCTGGGGGTCTTTGTGAGCCGCAGGCCGGGCTCTGCCACCCTTAGCTATCTGAATTTTTGCCCACACTTGTCTTGCAGATGTTTCCCGTCCAATAGAGCTAGTGAACTCAAGCCATTGTCTTTCCCGCTCTTTAATCTTCTCTTCCCTGGCTCCTTGACACACAGTTTTAAACAACTCTTGGTTACTTTCAGTGGGATGTCTCCGGTACTCTCTACTCATGTCTCGCACATTTGCGTTAAGCATCTTTATGTAATCGCTCTCATACCATTTTATTTTCTTCCTCTGAGGGTTACTTCGCCCAGTCGTACGGCGCGGAACTCTCAGCTCAGAAAGACAGCTCTCAATTTGGTAATTAAGGTCATCAACAAAGGTATCCATGTCTTCTGGGATTTGGTATTCCGTGAACCAGTCACTCATCCTGTTTATGAAGTGCGGCCTCATATCTGGTCCGAGTGATAACCTTTTTCTTTTATTTGTCTCTTTCCTTCTCTTGCTCATGTCGACGGTGGTAATTAGTGCCCAGTGGCCACTACATAAACTGTGCACAATGTGTGTACTGGCATCCGTGTCCTGTGCATTCAGCAGGAGAGCATAGTTTAATCTTCCTCCTCTGAGGTGAGTTGGCTGTTCATCACCCAGGACTCTAAGGTTTTCACTTCCCCTGACATAGAGTGATAGTTTCCGTCCATTGACATTGGGCTGATGACAGTTAGCACCAAAGTGTGGGTGTCTGGCATTAAGGTCACCGACCAGCAGGGTAGGTTCTTCATTAACAAACTCAGGCAGTGCGTCAAGGTCAAGTTTACTCTGTGGCACATATAGGTTGATTATATGTAGAGCATTATTGTTTAAGTGAAGGGTTACTCCCAGTGATTCAAACTCATCCCCCATGTGCAGGTCATCAATTATCTGTGCGGGAATGTTGTTATTTACAAAAGTGATGAGACCCCGTTTTCTTTCCCCATGTGGCAGGGAGAACTTGCGATAACCACTGAACCTTGGGTTGAAGTCATCACCTACCATCGTCTCCTGTAGCACTATGACGTCAGTTTGGTGTTCACGGACGTACTGTATGATGTCATTAACTCTATTGCGAACTCCATTACAGTTCCATTGCAGTATAGTGAGATGTTGTTCATTGTGATTATCCATTTTAGGTCGTTTGTCGTCAGCTGCACGTGTGTAATTATTATGTTCACATGTGTCATCGTGTATTCCATGGTGTGTGGTGTTACTGTGTGCACTGGCGTTACTGTGTGAACTGGTGTCACTGTGTGCACTGGTGTTACTGTGTGCACTGGCGTTACTGTGTGAACTGGTGTCACTGTGTGCACTGGTGTTACTGTGTTCACTGGTGTTATTGTGTGTACTGGTGTTACTGTGTTCACTGGTGTTACTGTGTGTATTGGTGTTACTGTGTGGACTGGGGTTACTGTGTACACTGGTGTTACTGTGTGTATTGGTGTTACTGTGTGCGCTGATGTACTGGTGTCCTGGTTGTGTCTGCTGACGGACCTCGGCAGTATGTGTTGCATCACCTTGCACCAGGCTCTGGCCTGCAGGACCTCCACTTGATGGACTCTGCTGTTGCAGGATTTTGAGAATTTGTTCCTGAGTCGTCTTAATCTGGCAGAGGACTTTCTCAAGTTCCTTTTGCAATATTTGGTGGACGACTGGATGAGTTTTTATCATATGGTCTAATATTGCTGTAACACAAACCTGAGTGACGACCTTCTGGGGAGTCTGGAGTGCCTGGAGGAGGAGTCAGATGGGAGACAGTGGAAGAGTCTGATTCATTGGTGAAGAAAAGCCTCTTCCCTCTCCTTCCTCTCTCTCTCTCTGTCTCTCTGTCTCTGTCTTTGTCTCTGTCTGTCTGTCTGTCTCTCTCTCTCTCTCTCTCTCTCTCTCTCTCTCTCTCTCTCTCTCTCTCTCTCTCTCTCTCTTCTCTCTCTCTCTCTCTCTCTCTCTCTCTCTCTCTCTCTCTCTCTCTCTCTCTCTCTCTCTCTCACCCTCCCCATCCACCTACACATGGCTCACCTCCACCCACACCTCCCATGATTTTCGTCCTGGTTGATATAATTTCATCTTCAGCCGCCTGTACGTCTTCCCGCCATGCCTGCAGCGACGACGCCCTCTGCTGCCCCGCCTCTGAAGAACAGAGAACGGATTTAGCATTGAAATTGAAATAAGTTTACTGAGGTAAAATACACACAAAGGGATGAGGTAGCTCAAGCTCTTCTCACCCCGTTCAGTACATCGTGTTCATACACATATATACACACACATCACAAACAATAAACATATTGGCGAACATTCTGAGAGATAAACGTATATATTTCCTCCTTTAAACAAGTAGTATGGTATCAGACGTACACACAAGTATTACATCGAGGTCCTTCTGAGGCCGTCCTCACGATGCAACCCCGATAACAGTTGACGAACTCCCGGGTACCTACTTACTGCTTGGTGAAGAGAAGCATTAGGTGATTGGAAATGCGTCCAACCATTTCTGCCGTTCTGCAGACTCGAACGGGAGAAATTCCCTATTGTGAGGGATTAGAACAGAATCGTTCCCGATTCCCTATTGTGAGTCGACAACGAATCCTACTGTACTGCCGAGACTTTGGCGGGAAATGGCGTTTTTGGCGGGGAAAATGTCCAGTTTGGGTCAAAAAAAGTGAAGGTTTTGGGTAAAAAAAAAAAAAAGATGAATTTTGCAGCGAGTGAGTACTTTTGGGCGTAATTGTCAGGTTCTGGGGCGGGAAAATTGAATTTTGAGCGGGAAAGTGCTGCTTGTACGGAAAAGAGAAGTTTGAGAGGGAAAAGTGTTATCGGTACGGGTGTGGAGGGAGAGGAAGAGCGCGCGGCGTCGTACACAACAGATAACAACACCGGATAACACATCCTGAGTCAAGATGAACTTTTCCATTACACAAGAGATAATCATAATTACAAACTACACAACCAAAGAATTGCAAAATAATTCCATTAGTTTTACATTCGGCGTTCTGGTTGGCTTAGATAAGGCCATAACGCCTGTCAGTCTCTGGGAGGGTTATTAAGGCCTATCAACCTCTGGAGGGTTATTAAGACCTATCAACTTCTGGAGGGTTATTTAGGCCTATCAACCTCTGGAGGGTTATTAAGGCCTATCAACCTCTGAGGGGTTATTAAGGCATATCAACCTCTGGAGGGTTATTAAGGCATATCAACCTCTGAGGGGTTATTAAGGCATATCAACCTCTGGAGGGTTATTAAGGCCTATCAACCTCTGGATGGTTATTAAGGCATATCAACCTTTGGAGGGTTATTAAGGCCTGTCAACCTCCAGAGGGTTATTAAGACCTATCAACCTCTGGAGGGTTATTAAGACCTATCAACCTCTGGAGGGTTATTAAGGCCTATCAACCTCTAGAGGGTTATTAAGGCCTGTCAACCTCTAGAGGGTTATTAAGGCCTGTCAATCTCTGGAGGGTTATTAAGGCCTATCAACCTCTGGAGGGTTATTAAGGCCTATCAACCTTTGGAGGGTTATTAAGGCCTGTCAACCTCCAGAGGGTTATTAAGACCTATCAACCTCTGGAGGGTTATTAAGGCCTATCAACCTCTGGAGGGTTATTAAGGCCTGTCAACCTCTGGAGGGTTATTAAGGCCTGTCAACCTCTGGAGGGTTATTAAGACCTATCAACCTCTGGAGGGTTATTAAGGCCTATCAACCTCTGGAGGGTTATTAAGGCCTGTCAACCTCTGGAGGGTTATTAAGGCCTATCAACCTCTGGGGGTTATTAAGGCCTATCAACCTCTGGAGGGTTATTAAGGCCTATCAACCTCCAGAGGGTTATTAAGACCATCACAATACCTTACTGACCAACTAGCCAGTATAATTTAGTTCTGGACTAAAGTAAACTCTTTAGTGAATATACACCTAGAAGCAGTGTATGCTATATATATATATATATATATATATATATATATATATATATATATATATATATATATATATATATATATATATATTCCATATATATATATCCCATATGTGTATATTGTATACACATATGTTAGCATGAGACAAGTTATAACAGATAATTTATACACGCAATGAGAATATGCAGACCAAAAAATTTCATTGTGTTCAAATATTCTTATAACTAATGGTATTACGAGCCATGTTTTCCATAAATATTCCATTGCTGTGTCGCTGTATCACGCCAAGCTTCCCCATCTGATAATTATTTACGAAACAATACATAATACATCATTTGGCTCACCGCTACAGGAAAGAAACCCGTATCCCGAGAGTAGAGTTATTGGCTTGTTAAGAGGTAGTTTACACTTGTGGATGTTCTTGGTTCCTCCTGTTGCACCACCAGTGTCTCCTTCTGCTACTCCTCCGCCTTCTCCAGCGTCTTCTTCCCCAACAAGATCGTCCGGGACCTCAGAAAAGGCTACCACAACGTTCTTCTTGTGCGTGCCTGAGAGTAAGGCCCGGTAGAGGGCTCCTGAAGGCAGCCGACAGTGCTCGTAGGATTTGGCCACGAGTCTTGGAGAGTTGTGGCCGTAGATGTCCAGTTCCAGGTAGAACCCGTCCAGCAGACTGCGTAGGTCCAGCTCCTTGGTCAGGTTCCTGTCGGAGGTGTTGTTGCACCCTGGAAGGACATGGGACACGAAGTTAATTATAGAAATGCTGTTCTAATCACGCACACACGCGCACACACACACACATACACATACACACACACACACACACACACACACACACACACACATACACATACACATACACATACACACACACACACACATACACATACACATACACATGCACATGCACATACACACTACTATGGGGCCTGGTAGCCTGGTGGATAGCGCGCAGGTCTCGTAATTCTGTGGCGCGGGTTCGATTCCCAATCCAGGCAGAAACAAATGGGCAAAGTTTCTTTCAACCTGAATGCCCCTGATACCTTGCAGTAAATATATACCTGGGAGTTAGTCAGCTGTTACGGGCTGCTTCCTGGTGTGTGTGTGTGTGTGTGTGTGTGTGTGTGTGTGTGTGTGTGTGTGTGTGTGTGTGTGTGTGTGTGTGTGTGTGTGTGTGTGTGTGGTGTGGGAAAAAAAAGTAGTTAGTAAACAGTTGATTGACAGTTGAGAGGCGGGCCGAAAGAGCAGAGCTCAACCCCCGCAAGCACAACTAGGTGAATACAAGGTGAATACACACACACACACACATACATATATATATATGTTGTACATACATATATAGGTATAGGTATACCGCATATATAAGACCAAGATCAATCCTGGAGTATGCGGCCCCAGCATGGAGCCCGTACCTTATAGAGCACAAGATGAAGATGGAAAAAGTTGAGAGGTATGCCACTAGACTAGTCCCAGAACTAAGAGGCATGAGTTACGAGGAAAGGCTGCGTGAGATGCACCTCACTACACTGGAAGACAGAGGAGTAAGGGGAGACATGATCACTACCTACAAAATTCTCAAAGGAACTGACAGGGTAGATAAGGATAAACTTTTTAACGGGTGGTACGCGAACAAGGGGACACAGGTTGAGACTTAGTACCGAAATGAGCCACAGGGACGTTAGAAAGACCTTTTTCAGTGTCAGAGTAGTTAACAGGTGGAATGCATTAGGCAGTGATGTGGTGGAGGCTGACTCCATACACAGTTTCAAATGTAGATATGATAGAGCCCAGTAGGCTCAGGAACCTGTACACCAGTTGATTGACGGTTGAGACCCTGGAAACACAAGCCGAAACTGTCTCTAATTTCCGCTTGTTACAACTTGTAATAAAGTTGCTACATCTTGGCTTAACGTGCTTATGACGTATTAGAAAGTTGTTACAACTTGCTATATTGGTTGTTATAACTGGTTAGGAGGTGTTAAAACTTGTTCGAACGTTGTACCAACGTCGTAGTTTCGGTGTGTGTTTGGCGGGGAGGCGGGACCAAAGAGCCAGAGCTTAACCCCCACAAGCTCAACTAGGCGAGTACAACTAGGCGGGTACAACTAGGCGGGTACACACACACAACACCAGTGAAGTTGTCCACTTTCCTTTATATTTTGGGGTTCAGTGTGTTGGGGTTAGGCCTAAACAAGGTCTTCCTAAACAAGGTCTTCCTACTTTACTGCCGCAGAAATTGGTCTCTTCTTATTAAATTAGTAATTTAATAATGTATTAATTATTTAATATGCAGTTACTTAACACACAGCTTCGTTAATTACTCCATTACCTAATAGTAGTTAATACTCCGAAAATTACAGTACTTACAGCAATTATTTGGACAAACATACAAAAATGTACTTTTGGATTTATAAAATAACTTTTTTATATATTATTCAATAAGCGCAAATGGCATTCTAAAATTTTTGACAATAAATAAAGAGCCTTACCTTTACTTCTTTATTTATTTATTTACAAGAAGGTACAATGAGTTTGTGAGATTACATACTAATGGCATTTTTACATTACATTACACGGGCTGCTTCCTGGGGGTGGAGGCCTGGTCGAGGACCGGGCCGCGGGGACACTAAAGCCCCGAAATCATCTCAAGATAACCTCAAGACATTGTTCTTGGGAGAGAACATGAAAATGTAAGGCTAATAGATGTTTTATGCTGCCCGGTCATATAATTCTGGGTTCTAAACATGTCATAGTTCTTTTCACTCGTGCTTTCTGGCCTTTGAGTGTCAGTAACTGCTCTTCTGTCCTCCCTAATTTCCTGAAATATTGCGGCTTTTACAGCAGAGTTTGGAATGCCCATCTCCAATTCAATTTCAGGCTTATCACATGCAGTTTTAGCTGCCTTGTCTTTGTCGTCATGCTGGACAGGCTAAATGTCATTATGTGACATGGTATCCACACAAATAAGACTGAAACTCTTGCTCTTTGCATTAAAAATATTGTTTGTAATTGACGACACAACATTCCTAATACCTATTTTGCATGCTGGGATTTTAAGGGGCCTGAAGAGCTGACTTTGAATCCTGCATTCTTGTACAGCCACCAGCACACATAGCGTTTAGGGCAGGTCCTTAATCCAAATTCTTCCCGGAATACGAAACGCCAAATCGTTTAACAACCAGGTACCAGTTACAGCCCCGCTCCTGTGCCAGGTAAGTCCACAACGGGCTCACCATAGCCCGTGCTACTTGGAACTTTTTGTTCCATGCAGCGAATCTTAAGCAACAACAACAACAACCAGTTACCCATTCACTGCTGGGTGAACAGAGGCGTACAGTTAAGGATTGGTGCCCAGTCAGTCCTCCCCGGCACGATACGAGATACCGTTTTCAATAGTATTCTTGAAAGCTTCTAATATCTCTCTCTCTCTCTCTCTCTCTCTCTCTCTCTCTCTCTCTCTCTCTCTCTCTCTCTCTCTCTCTCTCTCTCTCTCTCTCTCTCTCTCTCTCTCTCTCAACTAAGACTAGGGTTCATAAGTGCTGTCAAATGACGTACCTAGTGAAACTGCAAACAAGAGCTGTTATCCTACCTCAGCTCATCTGAATTTTGCTCCTAGAGACTCATTTATTTCCTGAGAATGTACTGATAATGAAATTATTACAAAGGGAACTAATTGCCATATAAGGAACCTGATGAAAGTGCAAGCAAGCAAGAGCTGTTATCCAGCTTCAGCTGAGTTGAAATCTGCTCCTAGAGACCCATTTATTTCACGAGCCAAGTATTTGCATCAATAGGAATAAACTTTATTCATTACCAACATTAGGTAACAATCATACAAGGAACAAGATAAACACATTGAGAACACCGGGGAAAGAAAAAGAGTCATAAAAGAGACTGCACGTTTCCAACACTGATATGGCCGTAGTAAGGTATTTATATATTTTATATAATTTCTGCCCGAAACGCTTTGCGTAATAGTGGCTTTAGGCATTGTATGTACTAGCTCTATCTATAAAGCCAACAAACTTTGTAAAATCTCTTTTATGTATGTACCTTTACCTAAATAAAAATTATTATTATTATTATTATTATTATTATTATTATTATTATTATTATTATTATGTGCATATCGAAGTAAATCATATATCAGACTTCGTCATTATGCAAATGTTCGTATTTTTCTTAATGCAGGAGAAAATAATATTGGATAAGTGGTACTAATATAAACGTTTCAAAGTGCCATTAAGTTAGTCTTGGGAAGACTTAAATCATATGTGCATTCCTCCAAGAGTGTTGGACATCAATGGTGGTCAAGAGGATTTGTAGTCAATTGTCGACTAGTAAAATATTGCAGCATCTTTCATTAATAACTGGGAACACTTCTTTGTTGATAAGGATAAGCTCAGGAAAGAACATATTTACCTAAGGCTGGAGTTGATGCCATTGCTTCTTACCTCATTTAATTACTGTCTACCGACCTCATTTACTGTTTACATTATTGATAAAGTAATATTTGAATTATATTTTTTTATTAATACATGAGGTACATCTGCATTTGTGCAGCTACCCTAGATTATATGAAGGGGAGTACAGTGTGTCAGAAAGCTAGCTACGTGATGCTAAAAATCTCCATCACACAGGTTGGTTAGTCATACAGAGGCATGTGATTAGTAGACTGGCAGACTCTGGGTGCATTATGAGGATATCATCAACACAAGAGTGAATAAGGTAACAGTGATACTAAAAGTCATCACAGGACCATATGTTTAATAGCCTGCACTGGCAAATTTTGGGTACACTGTGAGGATATCTTCAAGAATACGAGAGTGAATAAAGTAATTGCAAAGCTCCAGGTACCTCATACCAACTGGTCTGAAAGGTCTAATAACTGGGCATTCAGTGATGTAGTGCGGGAGAACATGCCGTAGTTCCTGCTCACAGAGTTTGCACCTGGAGTGCTCAGGATTGGGAGACCCGTCACCTGTAGCCACCTGCTACAGGTAACGGTAACCTGTAGCCACCTGCCACAGGTAACAGTAACCTAACCTGATCCTTGCAACCACTGTGTCGCACAGTCTGGTCGACGTTTAGTGCTGCCCATAGATATAGGTTTCAGATCTGAACAAACCATAGTTTTTTATACTAGTTTTCTTTACTGTTAATATTTTAAATGAATGTTATATGATATCATAATTCTTGTGACGAATGGCAGCATATCCTTCCCTGATATACATGAGGGTCTTGACGATAACGGGAAGCCAGCGGCTTGTCAGAGGTCCCCCGATTTGCCTTGGCAATCTTTTCCAGCCTGATTTTGAAATTCAACAGTCTTTGCATTTACGGCTTCAGCGGGTAAGCGGTTCATGGGTTTATAGACCTGTGGGTGAAAAAAGCATCTCCTGTTCTCAGTGCTATGAAGAGAACATTGTGGATTGTTGAGCTTGAAACCGTTGCTCCTTGTTTGTACGCATCTAGTTGTGCTTGCGGGGGGTTGAGCTCTGGCTCTTTGGTCCCGCCTCTCAACTGGTGTACAGATTCCTTATTCTACATATGAAATTATGTATGGCGTCTGCTCCATCACATCACTGCCTAATGCACTCCATCTGTTAACTACTCTGACACTGAAAAAGTTCTTTCTAAGGTCCCTGTGGCTCATTTGGGTACTCAGTTTCCACCTGTGGTATTAATGGTATTGGAGGTGCTTTATGGTATTGGAGGTGCTTTATGGTATTGAAGGTGCTTTATGGTATTGGAGGTGCTTTATGGTATTGGGGGTGCTTTATGGTATTGGGGGTGCTTTATGGTATTGGAGGTGCTTTATGGTATTGGAGGTGCTTTATGGTATTGGAGGTGCTTTATGGTATTGGGGGTGCTTTATGGTATTGGGGGTGCTTTATGGTATTGGAGGTGCTTTATGGTATTGGAGGTGCTTTATGGTATTGGGGGTGCTTTATGGTATTGAAGGTGCTTTATGGTATTGGAGGTGCTTTATGGTATTGGAGGTGCTTTATGGTATTGGAGGTGCTTTATGGTATTGGAGGTGCTTTATGGTATTGGAGGTGCTTTATGGTACTGGAGGTGCTTTATGGTATTGGAGGTGCTTTATGGTATTGGAGGTGCTTTATGGTATTGGGGGTGCTTTATGGTATTGGAGGTGCTTTATGGTATTGGAGGTGCTTTATGGTATTGGAGGTGCTTTATGGTATTGGGGGTGCTTTATGGTATTGGGGGTGCTTTATGGTATTGGGGGTGCTTTATGGTATTGGAGGTGCTTTATGGTATTGGAGGTGCTTTATGGTATTGGAGGTGCTTTATGGTATTGGGGGTGCTATATTAAGTTGGATTAGGGCATGGCTATTCCAAAGGAAACAGAGAGTTAGTATAAATGGGGGTTAAGTCAGAGTGGGATAATGTTGTAAGTGGAGTGCCTCAGGGCTCTGTCCTGGGACCTCTGTTGTTTATAATATATATAAATGATTTAGATTCAGGTTTGAATAGCAACATTTGCAAATTTGCCGATGATACAAAAATCGGCAGGGAAATTAACACGGAAGAAGACTCACTATCACTTCAAGTTTATCTAAATAGGGTTTTGAAATGGTCAAAAGATTGGCAGATGCAGTTTAATGCTGATAAATGTAAAGTTTTGAGGCTAGGTAACGATGATAGAGTTACAAGATGCGAGCTAGATGGTGTTGAGATTGCGAAGTCGGATTGCGAAAGGGATCTGGGAGTTATGATTAGTAAGAATTTAAAACCAAAGGATCAATGCATGAATGCTCGTAATAAGGCAAATAGTACACTTGGATTTATTAATCGAAGCGTTAGTAACAAGACACCTGGTGTGGTTCTTCAGCTATATCTTGCTTTGGTTAGGCCCCATTTAGATTATGCAGTTCAGTTTTGGTCGCCGAATTATAGAATGGATATAAATTCACTAGAACGTCTCCAGCTAAGGATGACAAAGTTAATCTCGAAAATTAAAAACCTGTCATATGAAAAAAGTTTGACAAAGCTTAAATTACATTCGCTGGAAATGCGAAGAGTTATGGGTGACATAATAGAGGTGTACGAGTAGATCCAGAAGAAGACCGCTCCTCTGAAATCTGCCACTGGCGAGGTGATTCAGGACCAGACATTGCAGCTGAAGCGCTGGGTCGAGCACTACTCTGAGCTATACGCCAGGGACAATGTGGTCACCGAAGATGCCCTGAGCGCCATTGAGTGTCTGCCTGTGTTAATGGAGCTCGACAGTGAACCGACCCTGGAAGAACTCAGCGATGCCCTAGACTCCCTTGCTTCTGGTAAAGCTCCTGGCAAAGATGGCATTCCTGCTGAGACCTTGAAGTGCTGCAGAGGTAGCCTGCTCATGGAGCTGCACGAAATTCTCTGCCTCTGCTGGGAAGAAGGAGAGGTGCCACAGGACATGAGGGATGCCAACATCGTCACACTGTATAAGAATAAAGGTGACAGGGGCGACTGCAACAACTACCGTGGAATCTCCCTCCTCAGTATTGTCGGAAAGCTGTTTGCTCGAGTCGCATTGAAGAGGCTCCAAGTACTTGCAGAGAGAGTTTATCCAGAATCACAATGTGGATTCAGAGCTGGCAGGTCCACCATCGACATGGTCTTTTCCCTCAGACAACTGCAGGAGAAATGCAGGGAACAGAAGCAGCCACTCTTTGTAGCCTTCATAGACCTGACGAAGGCCTTCGACCTCGTCAGCAGGGATGGCCTGTTCAAGATCCTCCCCAAGATCGGATGCCCACCCAGGCTCCTCAGCATCATCAGATCTTTCCATGAGAACATGAGGGGCACCGTGGTCTTTGATGGCCTAACATCAGACGCCTTTGACATCCGAAGTGGAGTAAAGCAGGGCTGCGTACTGGCTCCAACCCTATTCGGGATTTTCTTCGCAGTTATGCTGCGGCACGCCTTCGGATCTGTCACGGAAGGCATTTACCTCCGGACCAGGTCGGATGGAAAGCTCTTTAACCTCGCCAGGCTGAGAGCCAAGACAAAGGTTCGGCTGAGGTGTCTGCGCGACTTCCTCTTTGCCGACGACGCAGCAGTCACTGCCCACTCAGCTGAAGACCTCCAACGGCTCATAACCCGCTTCAGCGAGGCCTCTCAGGCTTTCGGACTCACCATCAGTCTGAAGAAAACACAAGTCATGGGACAAGGAGTGGACTCCCCACCTGACATCGGCATCTCTGATTCCAAACTGGAAGTTGTTCACGACTTCGTGTACCTGGGCTCCACAATCTCTGACTCCCTCTCTCTTGATACGGAGCTAAACAAACGCATCGGTAAGGCATCTACTACCATGTCCAGACTGACAAAGAGAGTGTGGGCCAACAATAGGCTAACTGAGTATACTAAGATTCAGGTTTACAGATCCTGTGTCCTGAGCACTCTCCTTTATGGCAGTGAGTCTTGGACACTCCGCGCCCGTCAGGAAAGACGGCTGAATGCCTACCACATGCGCTGCCTTCGACACATCTTGGACATCACCTGGCAGGACAAGGTGACAAACAACAACGTCTTGGGGAGAGCAAGAATCACCAGCATGTACACAATGCTGAAACAGAGACGAATGCGCTGGCTCGGGCACGTTGTGCGAATGGGCGACGGCAGGATCCCCAAGGATCTCCTGTATGGAGAGCTGAGGCAGGGAAAGCGTCCAGTAGGCAAGCCCCAGCTACGGTACAAAGACGTATGCAAAAGGGACCTGAAAGCCATGGACGTCGATCTTGCTATATGGGAGACACTGGCTACAGACCGTTCAGCCTGGAGGCAGTCTGTTCAACGAGGTCTCTCCAAGTTCGAGGAGTCACTTGCCAAGGAATCGGAGGCAAAGAGACAGAGAAGGAAAGCCGGTAACCAGGAAGACAGACCAGAATCGGACTTCGTTTGTGCTCGGTGTGGGATGGACTGCCACTCTCGGATTGGCCTCATCAGTCACACCAGACGCTGCACCAGGATTGACAACTAGGGCGCAACTCCATAGTCTCCCGAGACTGAAGGATACCTACTACTACGAGTAGATGAATGGATATAACAAAGGGGATATTAATAAGGTATTAAAAGTATCAACACGAGACAATGGGTATAAATTGGATAAGTTAAGATTTAGGAAAGATCTGGGTAAATACTGGTTCGGTAACAGGGTTGTTAATTTGTGGAACCAATTACCGCGTAACGTGGTGGAGGTGGGGTCCCTTGATTGTTTCAAGCGTGGGTTGGACATGTATATGAGTGGGATTGGGTGGTTATAAATAGGAGCTGCCTCGTATGGGCCAATAAAGAATTCGAACATCAGAATAATTAAATTATAACGTAACGTTAAATTATAACGCCATCAGCGCTAGTAGATAAAAGAGGTAGAACTCGCTTCCCCGTTGTCACTGATAGGTTTGTACACATTGTTGTTGTTGTTAAAGATTCGCTACCTAGAACAAAAAGTTCCAAGTAGCACGGGCTATGGTGAGCCCGTAGTACCGGTTTGTACACTTTCAGCGTCGGCTATGACAGCTGTTGACGTTTGTGACACTTGGGGTGTCGGACATGACAGCTGCTCGTGTTCGTGACATAAGCAGCGTTACATCCTGGCAGCTGCTGCTGTTCGTGACACTAGGAACATCATGACATGACAGCTGTGGCTGTTCGTGACACGAAATGACAGCTACTGGTACTCATGACCATCATATCATCAGCTCTGACATCCGCTAACATTCGCGACACTGCGCGCTGAAGGTGACATTGTTTTTCTCCCGCTTACGATAGTTGCTGACATTCGTGCCACTGATACCGGCAGTCGTGACACCATTTAGATTAAGACATCTCTCAGGTGTCTCGTCATTTCCACGTTTTGTCCACTACTCGTCAGCGTTGTGTCCGACGTACTTGGAAGGTCCATCGCGTCATTCACGTAAATATCACACAGTCACACACCGTCTCTGAGAACTGGCTATATAGCGAGGAGCAGAATTCCATCTGGGTTTATTTTCCAAATGATTCAATTTGCTGTTGTTGCTGTATGGGAAAGTCCTGGCCCGGGAGGATTGACTGTTCGCGCTGGCATCACCCGACAGCAATTGGGTGGTACCTGCTTGTTAACAGGTTGACAAGTAGTCGTGTTCCAGGGGGGGAAAGATTAGGGAGGATGGGGAGGTAAGGCTCACCATGAGCTATGGGAAGGGAAAGCTCTCAGCCTACTAACAGGAGTCAGCAGTCGTCTGCTCCTATACCCACCTCTGCTTTACATAGGCTTCCTGGGGCTATTTATATGTTATATTTTGCAACACTTATCTTGTATGATACAAAACTATACTGTAGTGTACTTTACTATAGTGCATTGTATTGCACTATACTGTATTATAATACACTTTCTAGGGTACTATACAAAATACACTGTAGACTACTATATCAAAGTATATATTTACTATATTAAGGTTCACTTTAGGCTACTATATAAAAGTACACTGTAGGTTACTATATTAAAATACACTGTAGGCAACTATATTAAAGTACATTTTAGACTACTGTATAGAAGTACACTATAAGCTACTATATTAAAGTACATGTAGGCTGCTATTTTAAAGTACATTTTAGGCTACTGTATAAAAGTACAGTGAAGGCTACTATATTAAAGTACACTGTAGACTACTATATTAAGGTACAATGTAAGTTACTGCACTAAAGTACACTGCAGATTATATTTAGGACTTCTCCTTGTCGGGGACAGGAAGCCTGCTACGATCGTCGAGGTTTTCCCTAAGTCACCTATACTGCCCTTTCCAAAGATGCAACCCATAACAGTCGTCTTGCACGCCTGGGTACCTATTTAGTGCATTAGGTGTAAGGAAACATGCTTAAACATATAGAGCCCCAGGAATCGAACCCTGGACTATGCTGAGACCTGCCATTCTTTGACAATGGTAGTAATAGCCCGTGCTACCTGGAAATTTTTGTTCCAGGTAGCGAATCTTTAACAACAACAACCCTGGTAGTACAGTCGTGTTCGATTTCGACTCACAATCGGGAATTCCGGGGTTCGCATCTCGGACGGAATATATATAGTTGGGCGCGTTTCCTATCACCTAATTAATGCTCCTGTTCACCTAGCAGTAAATTGGTACCCAGGAGTTAGTCAGCTGGTTATGGGGGTTGCATCCTGGGGGAGGTTGGGCGGGGGGGTCAGTAGCTCTATATTACGGGGGGGGGGGGCCTCGATATAAGCCTAACACATATAAGTATCTATCCTCTTGTTTAGATAGTATGTTTTGTAACTATATGGACCATCGTACATATTTTGACGTAATGGACAATAAAATAGTAGAATTTGGTACTATTCACTTCAGAGTTCGAATAAAAGTAAGCTAAACACCAAGCTTAAATATTCCTAGGCCTGGTATAGCATATATATTTACTATATTAGGCCTCAGATAGCGTATATTAGGCCTAGGGAGGTTAGGTAAGGTTAGGTTTTATTAGCAACAATAAATATCAAACCTTTCTCGGTTTGTCCAAATTTAATGGTACCAAATTCTATTTTCTAATTGTCCCATTACGTCGATATATTTACTATGGCCCACATGGTTACTATAAGTAGTATCTAAATAGAAGGATGGGCTCATGTTGACGTACAGTGGCCGCCTGTTTCTCGACACAGTCAATTATTGTTATTATTAATCGTCCAGGGACTATTCACTACAACAAAACTTAAATAATGTGTATCAGTACATTTTGCTTACCATCAACAAAGAAGTGTTCCCATATGGTTGGAGTTTGTTGTGGAGGCGGGTGAGCCAGGGTCGTCGTCGCCGCCCACGCCAGCACAGCCACCAGCGCCCACGGCCAGGTCAAGCTGTGACCTCTGGTCGAGCTGGTGACACCTGTGCCACCCGAGTGACCTCTGGCGGAGCATGAAACCCCAGACATTTCACAGGTGACAGCGCGTTCTGTACGCCCCGTAGTGCGCGAGGTGACATCAACCATTCCACTCCTAGCGGCACAAGTGACGTCACACACACTAGCGGCACAAGTGACATCACACACACTAGCGGCACAAGTGACGTCACACACACTAGCGGCACAAGTGACATCACACATACAACAACAGCAGCCATCCCAGTTCTCCATCATGACCGTAGCCTCAGACTTGTCAGACACTGCTGATCTAAAGTCTGGCAAGAATGACGGGAACATTTCCAACAACATCTATAGCTTAGGACTTGGGACTCTCATTTGCTAGGCTCTTCTCATCCTCCTAGCCTCGGGAATTTTTATATCAATATAATTTATCGTGTCTTCAGACGTACTGATACTTCCCCATAATAATTAGGTCACTTATACACCAAGAAAATGTCGTCATAAGCGATAATTCTTTCCACTTGTCCCTTTCATCACAACAAAAATCCTAGCACAAGAAAAGACAAAAACGCTGACCACAGAACAATCGTCTCAAACACTCACACGATCAAAAATATTTTCTCGATTACTTTAAAACCACTTGATTTGGTAGCTCAATTCGTCGATGTTTTTCTTTACAATTATTCACAATTGACAGGGCCGTGTTTGGCCGTTGTTGTCCGTATGTGTGTGTTTTTGGGGCGTAGGATCCACAATGACTGAGGCGGCCTGCTGGAATCCTAGCCTGGGAAGCTCTGCCCACACCGGACGTTTAGTTATCAACGACGAAAAACTGCTTAGTATTATCTGGACAAGTTAAACCGAGCAGAAGACAATTGTTATTTTATCATTCTCGTGTTTTCGTAATTATTCCCATTCTCTTTAATTAATTTATCCTTTTTCTTGCTTTCTTTTATTCTTAATTTTTCTCTTTCCCCCTTCCCCCCCATCTCCGTGTGTGTGTTTTTACTATTTTCATTGCTCACCATCTTCATATTTCCATGTTTTATAACTTCACTGGATCTTTAACTTTCATTAAGTTGTTCTTACCTAGTAGCGAGAACGCATTTCTGAGCCTACTATGCAAGGCCCGATTTGCCTAATAAGCCAAGTTTTCATGAATTAATATATTTTCTCTAATTTTTTTCTCATAAAATGATAAAGCTACCCATTTCATTATGTATGAGGTCAATTTTTTTATATTGGAGTTAAAATTAACGTAAATATATGACCGAACCTAACCAACCCTACCTAACCTAACCTAACCTATCTTTATAGGTTAGGTTAGGTTAGGTAGCCGAAAAAGTTAGGTTAGGTTAGGTTAGGTAGGTTAGGTAGTCGAAAAAACATTAATTCATGAAAACTTGGCTTGTTAGGCAAATCGGGCCTTGCATAGTAGGATGAGAAGTGCGTTCTGGCTACTAGGTACGACATATATATATATATATATATATATATATATATATATTATGTAGTACGTATATATTTGGACTTAATCTTAAGCTATAGACTTCAAACTTAAATTTTTGTTTAATTATACCTGGAATATTTATCAGCAGATTAAGATTATCAGCAGATTAAGTGTTGGGCGGATGTGTTTGTTTACAAGTCAAATGGACAACAACAACAAAGGGACAACGCTGGCTTGACATTACCTCTGTCTGTGACGCCCATGGTCTGTGGCCCCGTGTGTGACGCCCATGGTCTGTGGCCTGGTGTGTGACGCCCATGGCCAGTGGCCCCGTGTGTGACGCCCATGGTCTGTGGCCCCGTGTGTGACGCCCATGGTCTGTGGCCCCGTGTGTGACGCCCATGGTCTGTGGCCCTGTGTGTGACGCCCATGGCCCGTGACCCTGGCTTCCCTTTTACTGAACGCAACATGCAACTCTTCGAAGGTAAATAATATGGCCGTATCTCACTTATATGCAGGACCGTCTTGACGGCATTACGGGCCCCCGGACCCACCAGTGTGCCGGGACCCCTACGACAACCACTGACGGAAATATAAAGTAAATGGTCAATAATATTAACCATATATTTATTTTATTGGCACTTCAACACAGCTGGTGTTAAAACATTAAAAGTATACTGTAGCGCAGCAACTAATCAATATGATTAACATTTGAGCAATAAACTAGGCTTGACAAACACAATAATAATAATAAAGCAATAATCTGTAAGCTACACAGATTAGATGTCACAGAATGAAATTACTACGAGCTTCTTATTATAACAAGCATTTGCGGCATTTTTCCCAGAGAATTGCTTTATTATTGGCTTGAAGTCCATGGTCGTCAAGATGGTATTTTCCATGCACATGAGTGAAAGCCAGTTCTTACGATGCTGCCTCATTGTGCTACGAAGCAAAGTTTTATAACGGGACGGGAGCCGGTCGGCCGAGCGGACAGCACGCTGGACTTATGATCCTGTGGTCCCGGGTTCGATCCCGGGCGCCGACGAGAAACAATGAGCAGAGTTTCTTTCACCCTATGCCCCTATTACCTAGCAGTAAAATAGGTACCTGGGTGTTAGTCAGCTGTCACGGGCTGCTTCCTGGGGGTGGAGGCCTGGTCGAGGACTGGGCCGCGGGGACACTAAAGCCCCGAAATCATCTCAAGATAACCTCAAGAAGATCACGAACATGAACACTCTGAGAGCAATTTCAACTTTCGGGAACACAGATTTCAAATTGTCGGAAATTATTTGTCTGTCCAGTGCAGGGAGAGTCTCCCAATTATCATCAAGAGCCATGTACTGCTTGAGATGCTCACATTCATTTAAAAGGTCATAATAATTCAAGTCTTTATCATACATATTAGTCAGATGTTCACACTTTTCCTTTAGTGCATCAGAAGCAATGGTTTTCAATTCACTGAAGAAAGAAAACAGAGTTCCGATCTGTGACTTGGCCTCTGCACGTGTTGTCAGTTCAAAGATTAGAGTGTTCAGAATAGGGAGCAAAGTTTCCACCTTGAATTTTTCGGTTTTAATGAGAAGTACCTGTTCTGCTGATCCATTATATCTACTAAGATATAAGATGTTCTGCTGATCCATTATATCTACTAAGATGCTCACTTTGTTTTCGTTCCTGTTTTTACCCATCTTGAGATGATTTCGGGGCTTTTTTTTAGTGTCCCCGCGGCCCAGTCCTCGACCAGGCCGCAGGTCAATATTGGCTTATTAAATACGTGCATATGTGACATACTAATTTATTGTGAATATTTTAGTTTACCTTGAAAAGCTTCATAGAAAACACCAACCTTACCTAACCTTCTTAGTATGTTAAGATAAGCATCTTATTGCTTCATAATTACAATTATTACTTAACCTATTATAGGTATAGGTTAAGTAATAATTGAAATTACGAAGGAATAAGATGCTTATCTTAACATACTGAGAAGGTTAGGTAAGGTCGGTGTTTTCTATGAAGCTTTTCAAGGTAAACTAGTATGTTTAGTATGTCACATATGCACGTATTTAATAAGTCAATATTGACTTTAAGAAAGTGCGAGAACGGGTTGCCATCTGGACCATGCGGTAAGACGGCTCTGCTTTACGTACAAATCCACAAGGGCCGTGACGAGGATTCGTGTGTTCTGCTTTATGTGTTTTACGTGTTGTCATGCCTGTGTTCCAGGAGCCGGGAGCTGGATTCATGAAGCAGTACTCTCGAAACTTGTCGTTCTTATCTCTGTATTGGCGCTTACGTCGCGATTCGGGAAGCTATTTACGTTTTAGTTAGTTTTTAACTAACTAAAACGTGAATAACTTCCTGAATCGCGACGTAAGCGCCAATACAGAGATAAGAACGACAAGTTTTGTAAGTACTGCTTCATGAATCCAGCCCCTGAATCCTGGAGCACAGGCATGACAACACGAATGCTGATCCTCCTAAGAACGCTGCTTTACGCTACGACACCCGCAGAGCTCTCCTGGCTTTACGTAAATCGTATACAAGTCAAGTTTTCTCGACTCCACAAGCAGGACTTAAAACACCTTCATCGGCGAATAATAATCCTGTCCTGTCAGCAATATATGTATTTTGTGTCAAAAACTCGTAATACATATGTATTTTATAAAAAGCCAAATAAAAATTAACATAGGAAGTTATTATATAAATACTTCATAAGTCAATGTGCTTCTGGGTGCCAATGTGGTTTTCCATACCAAATGTTTTGCTAATAAAAATATTTCACCCATGATTAATGTGGTGAAGCAATTTAGCAATTAGAGAGTTAAATATTAAATTACTCATGGCAAATTAAATACAAAAAGCTAAGCTAATGAATTAGAATTAGCAGAAAATCTAACCTAAGTTTGTTTTTAATATTTGCCGTATTAAAATACTGTTAATATTTTGAAATCGCTGGCTCATATAATCTGTGGAAAATTTAAAATACAAAATATTAACTAATAAATCCTTACCTAACCTTACCTAAGCCAGTAATTATGTACTGAAGTACAGAGATTAATGTGGTCAACACTTACCTGTAGTCGTTCAATGAAATTTTGTTGTTAAAGATTATATCCTATGCTGCTACAGTTTCTTCAAAAAAATAATGGTCATATAGTATGAATACCCTTATCTGGGTACTAGACATTATTAAGTATACCCTTATCTGGGTACTAGACATTATTAAGTATACCCTTAGCTGGGTACTAGACATTATTAAGTATACCCTTATCTGGGTACTAGACATTATTAAGTATACCCTTATCTGGGTACTAGACATTATTAAGTATACCCTTAGCTGGGTACTTGACATTACTAAATAATTGGTATATTTTGTATATGGAAGTCCCGTCTTTCTAATTTTATGTGTCTATAAATTTCTTCATTTGCCAATACTGTACATGTTTGCAAATTCAGAATTTTTTAGTTGATTTGGGTCTTTCTTAAAAAACAAATACTTCAGAATAAGCTGTATATCACTAGGAAACTTGGCGTTTTTTTATTGATTCAGTTTCATGCTACATAAAATCATTGCAATTTCATATAAAGCATAATTATAATGGGCAATATTACTTTACACTATTTTTTTCCTTAGTTTACTCAGGAATTTAATTAATTTTTTTTTAAAGTCAGTTATACAGGTATAATCACTTATGAATAAAGTTAAAGAATGATTAATTAAAGTTAATTCAATAATTAAAATATAATGTAAAATGTATTGTTTCTAATAAATGAGGCTCTTTATGAATGATGAATTGTATATATATTCTTTAAATTTCTAGCCTTACCTAACCAATGGCCATTCAGTTGGATGAACTTTTTATCAAAGCTACAAAGAAATAGGTAATAATTGAACACTGAATATATTGATACAATCTAGCTTTCTATTTCCATATTAAAAGTCCTGAATAATACTTTATTCAATCACATACACTTCCCTCTGGATTTGTTTGGCATTGACCTTAATTGAGGCCTATCACTGCACAATGGTTATTAAGGCCGTGGCAGTAGCTCACTGACCAACTACCAACTATACATAATTCCTGAACGTACTCCAAGATTACAGTAAATTCAATGTATATACATCTATATACGGAGTACACATTTCGGTGTATGGTGTCGTCTCCTAACACACACACACCACTGCTAATGAGACAGAAACGAGATCAAATTAGGAAATAAATTTATTTTGACATTAATTAGCCTACGCATAAATGCAAGTGGCAGCATATTGTAAAGTCCTTCACAGGATGTCTCGCTCTACTTCAGTGTAATAATGTCTGTTGTTGTGTTTGGATTTAAGGGTTATGACGCCAGTCTGCCGGATGCAGCCTGGTGTTCCCTTGCTGGGGAAAACGCAAAACCTAATAAGTTTTTTTTTATTAATTGTACATTATAGGTCTCGCCTAGAAGCCTCATGGACATTAATGTGTTTCCCAGTGTCGGGGACAGGAAGCCCTCTGGTTTGGCTCATCGAGGTCCCCCCCTTAGTCACCGACTGTCCATCCCCGAGGACGCAACCTGCAACAGTTGCTTAACTCCTGGGTACTTATTTACTGCTATTTAAAGAGAAGCATCAGGTGCAAGGAAATATGCCCAAACGTCTTGCCATACCCAAGAATTAAATCCGGGACTACTCCAATATGAGCCGGCTTCGGTGCTACAAAATATATATTTAAAGAAATTTTAGTCACATGTTATAAGGATATTTTTTTCACTCAGAGGGATGATATATCTTAGCTATAACTTATCAAATATGGCAGAATACAGAACAAAAAATTATATAAAAAGCTCCAGACGCATTCATCAATTTACTGTGTAATAAAAATTGGTTTGTTCTCATATATTTATTATTATTGTTCATCAAAATTCTATATATTGTTAGGCGTAGGCTAGGTTATGTTAGGTGTTTCTGTTCTGTTGGCTATTATTTGTATTTGAAGTACGTGGGTGAAGCAATATGGTAACCCCAAGTCTCAATCCCCTGAAGACTTGTACCCAAGATTGACTATGTAATACATCTGTTACACAATGTATTGTACCTATACAATATGTAATACATCTGTTATACAATGCATCTTTCTATAACCTGAGCTTGTAAAAGCATCTTAATCACCTTCAGTGGTTAAGTGTTTAATATCACACTAGTTTCTATAGAAGCTATCTTACCCTGCCAAATTAGGAGAGACATAGGTGTATGTATATATATATATATATATATATATATATATATATATATATATATATATATATATATATATATATAATGGATATGTGTAGGTATATGTGTATATTTGTATAGTGTGTGTGTGTTTGTATACAGAGTATGTAGAAGCTGATCAGAATTGCATTTCTCCTTTGTAAACGCACATTAATGACGTTATGTAAAAAGACACCTCTAACACATGCTTATGTATAACATGTGTAAATTTGCGTATTTATGTTTGTAGGTTAGATTAGCATTTTAAAATCACTACAATCACCTTCTGTGGTTAATTGTTGAATAAATCACTGAATTATTTGGTTAACAGATCTTTAACCCTGTCCATGGAAGACAGAAGAAAATGTATATATGCCGATTAGTATTATAAATGTGTGGCCACGTTTGTGGTAGAAAATAATAGTAAAAAATACAAAAATCCCCTAAAAACTTATTAAGGCAACTACAACACTTTACTGACCAACTAGCAAATATAATTTAATCCTGAACATTGTCCAAAACTAAATTAAACTCAGTGTATATACACGAAGAAGCGATGTGTATATATATTCTTTGGAACTGAGGCAAGGTTGTTGTCTCTGGTCGGTAGAGGTCTCTGCTGTCCTCTGAAGTAAACATTTCCATTCTTATTCAGTGCTTACTCAACGACGAGGACAAGAGTACGTCGTTAATCCCTCGATCATTTTTTACCGTCGACTTTCGGCCCCAGAATTTTTGAAGGGAAGATATTCTAAGTTCTTTTCGATGACAGAACGAAGGAAAGTAGCAGTAACACAGGCCGGTGTGAGGATGAGATGAATAATGAAGGATTTTACACAAACAACGCCCGCGGCTCGCTGTCATTGCATTGTTCCATCTTCACAGACTCTAAGTTAAGCAACTAAATTTGTTTTTTGTGATTTTGATATAATCTCCATGTTTTTTTATGTAACTTCATAAGAAGACAGTAGTTTTTTATTTTTAAAGGGATTTTGTTTATAACGGGTGTAAATTAGGCTTTTATTATTTAGCTACATCCATTATATGGTAGGTACCAATTTGTACGTTATTTGTCTGTTTCCATAATTTTGCACGAAATTTTTGTTTTGAAATTGTATTGTTTCGTTGTGAGAGTACAGTGACTGGGGGGGGGGGTGGAATTTTGGAAGTAATTCTGTTTTCAATGTTTTCTTTGTAATTTCATAAGAATTATAGTTTTCGTTGGGGGAATATTTTTTTTTTTTTTAGCTCGAAATGACCGAAGATTTATTTTAACAAATAGTTTTTTATTTCCACAAAGCTGTTTCTGAAGACTCATGAAAATAAATTGTTTTAATTCTTTTCAACCGATCTCACATGACGATGTGAGGCTGCGAAAAATATTTGATTATCAATTGACTAGATGGAAGAGGGTTGGCAGGGAACTATATGAATCTGCGGTATAGTTCAGGGCAGAACTTTTCCTCTCATTTAACTCAATTTTGTTCTATTTTACACACTAAGAATCACAATCAATTTGGTGAAGATATGAGATTCCCCGTGATAGTACATCACGTAGCCTAATGAGAGTAGAAAGATTTTCAGTTTTGCTTTTCATTAGCTAGTTTGATTCCAGGCGCGATACAGATTTATAATACTCCGGGATGGACTGAAACCTCGTCATTTTATCTATTTTCAAACGTTTTGTTTTGGTTATTTGTGCCACGATGTTGTGATTTAGTCTCTCTATATTTCTTCGCTTTGTTGGGGACAGGAAGCCTGTTTATATATATATAGCTTAGACTTCTATCGATTCTCCCTCCCACTCAAGGTCAACCACGTGACCTTCCCGGGATGCAGCCACAAACCAGTTACCTAACTCCTGGGTATGTATTTACTACTAGGTTTAAGGAGACGTGCCCAACCGTTTCGTCCTCTGCCGGGAATCGAACCTGAGATCCCCGATTATGAGTCGAGAACGAGGCCAAGTGTATTGCGAGAGGTAAATGTTCTATGATATAACGCACACTCGTGGCAGGCCACATATATAGTTTATCCTCGCTTGTGGTTACCGAACCTGTCTTGTTCCACAGCCCGTGCTACTTGGAACTTTGTTCCAGGTAGCGAATCTTTAACAACAACAACAACTGTCTTGTTTCCATAAAGAAAGGGAGTAGCCTCGTTGTTGCCGCTGGTTATTGAAGTGTTGACATGAATTATCATCGTGGCTACTACTTAGTTGTTGGGAAGCCGCCGTCCACCAAAACTCTCTCTCGCTCTTCCTTGTTACTTGATAAGCGTCCAGGATGGACCAAAATGTTGTTGCTTTTATTCAATTTCATCGGTGGGTTGTGATTTGATTTTTGGTAGCCACATTATTGTGTCATTTTCTGCAGATTGTTATAGATCCTCTCCCATAGTCTGGCTATTACTGCGAGACGTTGGGCGTGTCGGAGGCGTTTTTCTGTCCATCTGTGTTGCAGTGTAGGCTAAGTTCTCCATGTCGAGACTGACTTGGCCCATGCTGGCCGTCCTCCCACGGCCCAGGCTCTCTCTTCCTTTTCGCAAGGTACAATAAAATCTTCAGCTCTTCTCTAAAACCATGGTTCAACCCCAGAAAAAAGATTATGTGTATAGTGTGTTCCAGTATCTGGAAAGAATTCCCTATGGCTCTTAGAACCTCCTTGGGATGGTTCCCATAGCAGCGGTCAGAAAGATGCTTGGCGTAGTTCATAACGTAGATGATGATGGGTAGAGTTAATAAGATATAGGAAGCTGTGATGGAGATCACGGTGATAACCAGAGTTCGCTCGCCGGCCCTTCTAGAGCCCTCAGCTGTGGTGGGGAAGTTAACGCGGCCTCTGGCCACGCCGATCACTAACCCAACGTTAAACACCACGAGTAAAGAAGCCGGAACAAATCGGATAAACAACCCATAAAAAGTTCTGTAGACTTTGTGCCAAGCCTCATTGAAGTGATTTTGATATCCGGTTTTAATAATCCAAGTCCCGTTAACACACGTGCTATCAGTCTTTGTAGAACTTGAGCAGTCTACTTTGGCGTCGATAATATACGGCAAATGCACAAAAATGCATACAATGAATGTAAGCACGATTCTGTTTCGAAATATATTCGGATTACTTTGGATTCTCGGGTAAAGATTACACATCCAGACGGCAATAAATCGATCTAGGGACAGCCAAAGCATGGTGTAGGTTCCTAACGCTTGAGAGATCCCCACCAACGTCCATCCAAGATGAGAAAAGTAATAAGCTTCGACGTAGGAGGAGAAGGTACAGCCTGTTATGGTGGTGATGACGGGGATGTAGAAGACGCACACCAGCAGGTCCAATACCGCCAGCAGGAGGAAGTACCTGCAATGGGTACACAGTGAGAAAGAAAAGTGTTCTCTGTCATATGGAGAACATAAAGCAAATTACAAAATGTCGGAAGTACCGACACCATTTGCTAACTTCAAATACAATGTGCAGATAATATTGCTGCTGATTTTGCACTAACAAATGTACACAAAAATATTTTAACATAAGAATTAAGGTAACTATAGAAGGCCTATTGGCCCATACGAGGCAACTTTTATTTATAACCACCCAATCCCACTCATATACATGCCAACCCACCCTTGAAATAATCGAGGGACCCCACCTCCACCAAGATACGCGATAATTGGTTTCACAAGCATCAACCCTCTTACCGAACCAGTATTTACCCATGTCTTTCCTAAATCTAAACTTATCCAGTTTATACCCACTTTTTCGTGTTCTGCCTTGTGTTGATACTTTTAATATCGCCTTTAATATCCCATTCATCCACTTGTACACCTCTATCATGTCACCCCAAATTTTTTAATGTAAAATTTCCCTTTTCTAGAATGTAATTTAAGCTTTGCCAATCTTTCTCCATATGACAGGTTTCTAATTTGGGGATTAACTTTGTCGTTCTACGCTGGACGCGTTCTATTGAATTTATATCCATTCTTTAGTCCGGCGACCAAAACTGAACTGCATAATCTAAATGGGGCCTAACCAGATCAAGATATAGCTGATGAACAACACCAGGTGTCTTACTAGTAACGCTTCATTTAATAAAACTCAGTGTTCTATTAGCCTTATTACCAACATTTATGCATTGATCTTTGGGTTTTAAATTCTTACTAATCATAACTCTCAGATCCCTTTCGCAATCAGACGTCGCAATCTCAACACCATCTAGCTCGTATCTTGTAACGCTATCATCATTACCTAGCCTCAAAACCTTACATTTATCAGCATTAAACTGCATCTGTCAATCTTTTGACTATTTCAAAACCCTATTTAGATCGTGCTGAAGTGATAGTCTTTTTCCGTGTTAATTTCCCTCCCGATTTTTATATCATCGGCAAATTTGCAAATATTGCTGCTCAAACCTGAATCTAAATCATTTATATATATATATATATATATATATATATATATATATATATATATATATATATATATATATATATATATATATATATATATATATATATATATTATAAATAACAGAGGTCCCAGGACTTGAGGTACTCCACTTACAACATTTTCCCACTCTGACTTAACCCCATTTATACTAACTCTCTGTTTCCATTGATATAGTCATGCCCTAATCCAACTTAATATAGCATCCCCAATACCATGAGACTCTATCTTTTTAATCAGTGTTTCATATGGCACTGTATCAAAAGCTTTGCTGAAGTCAACGTACACAACATCACAAATCTTACCACTATCAACTGCCTCAACTATGCTGGAATAAAATGATAGCAAATTTGTTAAACATGAACGGCCATTTGTAAAATCATGTTGTGAATTATTTATGAATTTATGTTTTTCAAGATGACGACGAATTGAATTTGCAATTATCGATTCAAGTAACTTTCCCACAATAGACGTTAGGCTAATTGGCCGATAATTTGACGCAAGTGATCTATCTCCTTTTTTAAAAATTGGTACAGTACCACATTAGCAACCTTCCACGACTCTGGTACTGTGCCTGACTCTAATGATTTATTAAATATGGTAGACAATGGGTCGCAAAGCTCCTCTTTGCATTGTTTAAGCACCCTGGCAAACACTTCATCTGGTCCTGGGGATTTGTTTGGTTTTAGTTTTACTATTTATTTAATTACATCCTCCCTGGTAACTGCTAAACTAGTCAATCTGTCCTCGTCCCCGCCCACATAGACTTGTTCGGCTGAAGGCATTGTGTTACGTTCCTCTTTAGTAAATACAGAAATAAAATATTTATTAAAAATACTATTCATATCTTCGTCATTATGCGTTATCTAACCTGTCTCAGTTTTTAATGGACCTATCCTTTCCCAAATCTTTGTTCGATATAACTGAAACAACCCTTTAGGATTTGTCTTTGCTTGCCCTGCTATGCTAACTTCATAGTTTCTTTTTGCTTTCCTTATCTCTTTTTTTTAACATTTCTAACCAGCTGTACGAATTCTTGTTCTAAACTGACTTCCCCATTCTTAATCCTTTTGTATCAAGTTCTCTTTCTACCTATAAAATTCTTCAGATCCTTTATTATCCATCTCGGGTCATTAGTATTCGATTTATTCAATTTGTATAGTATATACTACGTTCCTGTGCTTTGCTTAGAATATTTTGATATAAGTTATATTTTGAATCCACATCGAAATCCCTTTTTACATCACCGATCGCTGGGTTCACGTCTCGCTCCAAGACCGGCCCACTCCCCCCCCATACCCAAAACTTTCCAATGTATTTCACCCCAAAAAATTCTTAGGCTATTAAAATCAGCTTTTCGAAAATCTAGCACTTTTAGCAGAATTTTCTCCTACAGATCTATTCTATTCCATGCTAACTCACAAAAATCACACTAACGTGATGCATCAAATGAACAAATACACAAGGGCCGTGACGAGGATTTGAACTTGGTGAGTCAGAGTTGCTTGAGGAAGTTGAGTGGAACTGGCTGTTGAAGCAAATAGATCTGCTAACCTTTCTGCTTCTTGCTCTGGATGAACATGGTGCGGCAGAGCAGGAGGCGATTTTCCTTTGGCCTTGTTGATCTGCCTCCAGATGTCTCCCAAGGACGTATGCTGATTTAGCTTGGCCCACCACTCGAGCCATTTTTCTTCTCTGATTTTTGCTGTTTCTTCGTGCACATGATCTCGGACAGCTCTAAGAAGTCCTAGATTAGCTTCTGTTCTATCTCTTCTGAAATTCTTTCATGCACGATTTAGTCTGTTATGTAGCTCTTTGATCCTATCACAGTAATACCAATGGTCCTTGTGTTGTTGGGTAATTATTTTCCTCTTGGGGATGGTGTGATTTGCTGCTCTATGTATTGCATTTACTAAATCTTTTTCTATTTCTTCGGTGTTGTCAGGAGGAGTGTAGTTTTGGTGCCAAGTTTCGAGAGCTTCCTGAAACTTCGTCCAATCTGCCTTGATAAAGTCCCATCCGGGCTCGGGAGCTGGAGGTCTAGGAGGTAGTGCTATATTAATAACTGTTTTTGTAGCAAAGTTGTCACTGGTCAGAACATGATCCACTGACCAATGACACAACTCATAAATACTGGTGGAAACAAACGTGAGATCCAACTTTCCCCCACCAGTGTGGGTTGGTTCCGTCGAATTAAGCAGACTGATTTCCGGCACTTCATCCAAAAGGTGTTCAATATGTCTTCCGTTGGCGTCGGTTCTTAGTGAATCAAGAAGTAATTCACTATGAGCGTTAAAGTCGCCAGAGATGATAGTAGGTGTAGTGGCTACTATTTCAAAGATTGTTGAGAGATCCATGTCGTGTTCTCTCTGGCTCCTGTATACATTGAAGATGGACAGCGTTGAGTTCCTCATAGCGAGATTAACTCCCATAATTTCGACGTTCTCGCCACAGTTGGGCAGGTCTGTGATTGCCGTGGCATTGATATGATTTCTCACTAGAACTGAAATGCCTCTGGTGCCACCTTGTGCCATAGGGCAGTGGAAACCTTGATATCCTGGGATATTGATATTTCTTTCTGTCCTGGTGAGTGTTTCTTGAAGTAGAACAATATCAATGCTGTCCTTGAGAAGCACTGCTCTGAGTGTTTGTGCTTTCTTTTTGAATCCTTGAATATTCCATTGTATAATTTTGAGATTGTCCATTATTCCGTTAGAGTGGAATCATTGAGTCCATGGTTTTTACAGAACTGGTTTTCCCGACGGCTTGTGTCTTCTTCGCTGGAGTGGAAACTTTTTTCTTGGTGGGTGAGGAGACTCTTGGTTGGGTTGAAGCGTCTTTGCTACATCCAGCTACTGGGGCATTTGATGATGTAGGGATCATCATTTCTGCTTGGGAGGTCTTGGAGGCAACGACAGGTATGTTCGTTTTGCTGCCTTGATCTATTCTGTTGCTGTTGCCTTGTGACAACAGCTTCTTTGCTTCTTTGTTTCCTCCAGTTGTTGGAGGCCTTGTTCTTGCTCAGACTAGAAGGATTTGGTGCGTTAGACTGTTTCTGATCTTCATTTATTCGGACTTGCCGAGGGGTGTACCACTGGCTTTTTACCGAGGGTCTGGTCGATTGTGGTCTAGAAGTTGTGACTTTGGGTTGCTGGGTTGATCCGAAAGCTAGTATTCTTTTTACCCTTTCTGGACATCGTTTGTTCCAGGCGTGATGTGTATCCCCGCACTTAGGACATTTTGCTTTCGTTTGTTTGCCTTCTTTATGCAGATTCTTGCATATGCCGGTATTGTGGAGCTCGCTGCATACTCCACATCGTTCCGGGCCTCTGCAGCCATCTTTATGGTGGCCGAAGCGCTGACATCTGTAACAGCACATGGGGTTCTGGATTGTACAGCCTTAGACTGAATTGACCATAGATCCCAACACTCAGAGTATTGATGCGAGGTCCTTTTATTGTTACAAGAACCTGTCTTGTTTCTACAGTGTTGTGCTTACATCTTTCCGCCGTTGTGACATTTTGGCATTCTAAGAGTCTGTTTGCATGAACTTCAACCGGGAAATGTTGTACTATCATTTTGGTGTTTTTTTCTTCTGGTTTCAGTTGTAAACACGTTAATCCGTCATACTTATACTCGCATTTGGGTGATGTGATATGGTGCAACAGTTTTGGATGAGGTGAACAAACTTGTGACAAACACAAGACAGAACACGAAACTATGGGTATTAATTGGATATGAGAACATAAGAATGGAAGTAACTGCAGAGGACCTATTGGCCCATACTTCCTCTTGATGCTTCTGTATTGGGTACAGCTGGTCCTAGTCAACAATGGCTTCTTTAATGGTTTTGTTGAAAACATCATAAAAAGAAAGATAAAACGCCATGCAACCTCTGAAGAGTCAACTAACACAACACATGTACCCCCTATTTAACAACATATGTTTACAAGAAAGACTGCTACCAATATATATATATATATATATATATATATATATATATATATATATATATATATATATATATATATATATATATATATATATATATATATATATATATATATATATATATATATATATATATATATATATATATATGCGAACAAGCATGAATGGTCCCCAATCATATATGCAACTGAAAACTCCACACCCCAGAAGTGACTGGAACCCAGACAGCCAGGAGCACTATACAACTGGCATATATAGTACCTTAACCACTTGACCAACCGTGACCGTACAAAAGACGTTGGTAGCCTTTGTGGGATCTCTCTCTCTCTCTCTCTCTCTCTCTCTCTCTCTCTCTCTCTCTCTCTCTCTCTCTCTCTCTCTCTCTCTCTCTCTCTCTCTCAGTAAGAGTATACTCACCAGTTGACGCGAGCAGCCCTGAGCCGGGGTTTGCTAAGGACGATGATGCAGAGAACATTGGCCAGGACACCCAGAGAGACCAGCACGGGCAGCACCTGACGATACACCACCTGGTGGACCTCGTCCACCTGGTAGACCAAGTCCTCCTGGTACGCCTCGTCCACCTGGTAGGAATTATTCACCTCCTTCATCGTCGCCGGCGGGAGGTATCTCAATCGATCCCCCACGCGATGTTCCAAAGGTCATACGTGGTTTCCAAAGGCTAAATGACACGAGCTCCTGTTAGACTCTTGTAGGTTCACATCGATACAGAGCGCCTTTAGGTTTCCTCTCACAGGAATCTGGTAGGACTCTCGTAGGACTTAGGAGCTTTCTTCAGAACCGGAAAGTTGCGCCTTGTTCTAAAATTCCACGTTCTTGATGCTTAATCTGCAGAACGATCATTTGTGTTGGTTAAACCAGTAATTAAGGTTATGTTTTATTCAATTACAAAAAACGGAGACAAATGTAGGTATGTCTTGAGTGTTTTTGTATAAAGCACATCACGTCTCCCCACGCCCACACTGAAGCCGCCTCACCCCCACGCCCACACTGAAGCCGCCTCACCCCACGCCCACACTGAAGCTGCCTCACCCCACGCCCACACTGAAGCTGCCTCACCCTACGCCCACACTGAAGCCGCCTCACCCCCACGCCCACACTGAAGGCCACTAACCCCCACGCCCACACTGAAGCCGCCTCACCCCACGCCCACACTGAAGCCGCCTCACCCCACGCCCACACTGAAGCTGCCTCACCCCACGCCCACACTGAAGCCGCCTCACCCCACGCCCACACTGAAGCTGTCTCACCCCACGCCCACACTGAAGCCGCCTCACCCCACGCCCACACTGAAGCCGCCTCACCCCACGCTCACACTGAAGCTGCCTCACCCCACGCCCACACTGAAGCTGCCTCACCCCACGCTCACACTGAAGCCGCCTCACCCCACGCCCACACTGAAGCTGCCTCACCCCACGCCCACACTGAAGTCGCCTCACCCCACGCCCACACTGAAGCTGCCTCACCCCACGCTCACACTGAAGCTGCCTCACCCCACGCCCACACTGAAGCCGCCTCACCCCACGCCCACACTGAAGCTGCCTCACCCCACGCCCACACTGAAGCCGCCTCACCCCACGCCCACACTGAAGCTGCCTCACCCCATGCCCACACTGAAGCTGCCTCACCCCACGCCCACACTGAAGCCGCCTCACCCTACGCCCACACTGAAGCCGCCTCACCCTACGCCCACACTGAAGCCGCCTCACCCCACGCCCACACTGAAGCCGCCTCACCCCCACGCCCACACTGAAGCCGCCTCACCCCCACGCCCACACTGAAGCCGCCTCACCCCCACGCCCACACTGAAGCCGCCTCATCCGCACGCCCACACTGAAGCCGCCTCACCCTACGCCCACACTGAAGCCACCTCATCCCACGCCCACACTGAAGCTGCCTCACCCCACGCCCACACTGAAGCCGCCTCACCCCCACGCCCACACTAACGTCTTTCTCCTTATTCATCTGTTATAATATATACATATAAATATAAATATAAACTGCTTAATATTTCTCAGCGAGTCTCGGGTGTGTTAGGATACAAATGCGCTCGGAGGCGCTCGGAGATACCTACTCCGAGCGCTCGTTGTCTTGCTTGAACAACACATTTCTTGAACCGTCTTAGATGCGCATCTAACTGACGTCATTCTAGTTTCCGGCCGGTATCAGTTTCCGGCCGTCCTTCGTTATATTAGGCTGTGTTGGCCAGAGATAACGGGTTCTCTACCTCAGGCTGGGTCATGTCACTCCACCAGGAACATTACACCGAAGGAAACTGCGGAAAGCGCAATGGTCATACGAGGGTTGTTCCTATTGGTCCACACGAGGCCTCTCTTATTGGTTCACACGAGGCCGCTCCTATTGGTCTACACGAGGCTGCTCCTATTAGTCCACACGAGGCCGCTCATATTTATATCAACCCAAACTTATATATATATATGTGTTAACCTTAACACCGGAGTGAAATTCCACGCAACTAATTTCGTTATATTGCAGGTTAATTCCTCTCAGCTGGTTATTAATTCCTCTCAGCTGGTTATTAATTCCTCTCAGCTTGTTATTTATTATCTAGGGGAAGGAAAACCCTGATTTTAAACCTCCGCTGCCTTGCGGCCATACCCTTTTTTGGGAAGGCTTCAGGAGTCAACCTCGAGGAAAAATCCGGAGTTGGAGCCCCTAAGGCAGTTCGTTGTTGACGTCGACCTCGTTCTGGCAGCTCCTGCGACGTTGCTGGAACCATGCGTATTGGCATTTGCCTTTCTATTGGATAATTTCAGCAACGTGGAGAGGGGGGACCTGCTGCATGGGTAACAGCTTCTCCTCCATATCTACCTACCCAGGCTTTGCGCCCTGGAGAGGACACTCCAGCTTCGCCTCACAGCGTCGAACCAACACGGGAAGCGACAGTCTACCGGTTTTAAGTCTTCTGCTCGATTGGCGAAGAGTGTGACGCCAGGGGTTGCTTCCGACGGTGGGAGGGGTCATCGCGCCCCACTGGGCAGCTACCGCCCGCCTCAAGCTGGGCAAACCCCAGCCAATAAGGTGTTGCCTCGCCACGGTCCGTTAACCTCACTGGGTGCGTGGGGTTTAGGGTGAAAACTGACAAGCGGCCCGACAACTTTGCACCAAGCAATACCAAACCAAAGAAGAAAATATCAACTGCCCTAAAGCTGGGCACATGGAACGTCAGGACACTGACGCCAGGTTTCTCTGACGACCTGCAAGAAATCAATGACGCCCGAAAAACAGCAATCATCGATAGGGAGCTGAGCAAGCTGCAGATGGATATTGTTGCTCTCCAAGAGACCAGGCTCCCAGGATCAGGATCTGTGAGAGAGAGGACCTTCTCTTTCTTCTGGCAAGGAAAACCTCCAGATGAGACCAGAGAACATGGTGTGGGATTTGCCGTCAGGAATGCACTGTTGGGACACATTATGCCACCGATGGGGGAAACCGAACGAATTCTGTCTCTGCAACTGTACTCCCAAACAGGACCAGTCAATGTAATTAGTGCATATGCACCAACCCTGACTTCTCCAGCAGAGGCAAAGGAAAAATTCTACGATGACCTCAACAGAGTCATAGCGAGAATCCCTGCAAAGGAGCCACTGTTCATCCTCGGCGACTTCAACGCCAGAGTGGGTGCCGAGCACAACATTTGGCCCACTTGCCTGGGTCAATTCGGCATAGGAAGGATGAATGAGAACGGGCAACGTCTGCTAGAACTCTGCTGCCTTCATGGTCTTTGTGTCACCAACACGTTCTTCGGCACAAAGCCTCAACACCGAGTATCTTGGAGACACCCCAGATCCAAGCACTGGCACCAGCTTGACCTGATTCTTACCAGGCGTGCAAGTCTACCCAGCGTCAAGATTACGCGTAGCTACCAGAGTGCTGTCTGTGACACCGACCACTCCCTGGTATGTAGCAGGGTCAAGATGCAACCAAAGAAGATTCATCACTCGAAAAAGGTGGGCAGACCTCGCATCGACACCACCAAGACCCGCAACCAGGACAAGGTGGAAGATTTTGCACACGTGCTCGAGGAAGCTCTCCCTGGCCCAGCTGGGGTCACTGCCTGTAAAAGATGGGAGCACTTCAGAGACGCTGTGTTCAACGCTGCCATTTCCACCTTTGGCAAGAAGACCAGCAGGTCGGCAGACTGGTTCGAGGCTCACTCGGAAGAGATGACACCTGTAATCGAAGAGAAGAGAAACGCCTTGGCAGCCTACAAAGCCTGCCCAAGTCAGCACAACTTACAGATCCTTCGGGCCGTCCGCTGCTGCAAAGTGCAGCAGAGCGCCAGGCGATGTGCCAACAACTATTGGCTCCAGCTCTGCTCCCAGATACAGACTGCAGCGGATACAGGCAATGTAAGGGGAATGTATGACGGCATCAAGCAGGCCCTCGGCCCAATCCAGAGGAAGACCGCTCCTCTGAAATCTGCCACTGGTGAGGTGATTCAGGACCAGACACTGCAGCTGAAGCGCTGGGTCGAGCACTACTCTGAGCTATACGCCAGGGACAATGTGGTCACCGAAGATGCCCTGAGCGCCATTGAGTGTCTGCCTGTGTTAATGGAGCTCGACAGCGAACCGACCCTGGAAGAACTCAGCGATGCCCTAGACTCCCTTGCTTCTGGTAAAGCTCCTGGCAAAGATGGCATTCCTGCTGAGACCTTGAAGTGCTGCAGAGGTAGCCTGCTCATGGAGCTGCATGAAATTCTCTGCCTCTGCTGGGAAGAAGGAGAGGTGCCACAGGATATGAGGGATGCCAACATCGTCACACTGTATAAGAATAAAGGTGACAGGGGCGACTGCAACAACTACCGTGGAATCTCCCTCCTCAGTATTGTCGGAAAGCTGTTTGCTCGAGTCGCATTGAAGAGGCTCCAAGTACTTGCAGAGAGAGTCTATCCAGAATCACAATGCGGATTCAGAGCTGGCAGGTCCACCATCGACATGGTCTTTTCCCTCAGACAACTGCAGGAGAAATGCAGGGAACAGAAGCAGCCACTCTTTGTAGCCTTCATAGATCTGACGAAGGCCTTCGACCTCGTCAGCAGGGATGGCCTGTTCAAGATCCTCCCCAAGATCGGATGCCCACCCAGGCTCCTCAGCATCATCAGATCTTTCCATGAGAACATGAGGGGCACCGTGGTCTTTGATGGCCTAACATCAGACGCCTTTGACATCCGAAGTGGAGTAAAGCAGGGCTGCGTACTGGCTCCAACCCTATTCGGGATTTTCTTCGCAGTTATGCTGCGGCACGCCTTCGGATCTGTCACGGAAGGCATTTACCTCCGGACCAGGTCGGATGGAAAGCTCTTTAACCTCGCCAGGCTGAGAGCCAAGACAAAGGTTCGGCTGAGGTGTCTGCGCGACTTCCTCTTTGCCGACGACGCAGCAGTCACTGCCCACTCAGCTGAAGACCTCCAACGGCTCATAACCCGCTTCAGCGAGGCCTCTCAGGCTTTCGGACTCACCATCAGTCTGAAGAAAACACAAGTCATGGGACAAGGAGTGGACTCCCCACCTGACATCGGCATCTCTGATTCCAAACTGGAAGTCGTTCACGACTTCGTGTACCTGGGCTCCACAATCTCTGACTCCCTCTCTCTTGATACGGAGCTAAACAAACGCATCGGTAAGGCATCTACTACTATGTCCAGACTGACAAAGAGAGTGTGGACCAACAATAGGCTAACTGAGTATACTAAGATTCAGGTTTACAGAGCCTGTGTCCTGAGCACTCTCCTTTATGGCAGTGAGTCTTGGACACTCCGCGCCCGTCAGGAAAGACAGCTGAATGCCTACCACATGCGCTGCCTTCGACACATCTTGGACATCACCTGGCAGGACAAGGTGACAAACAACAACGTCTTGGGGAGAGCAAGAATCACCAGCATGTACACAATGCTGAAACAGAGACGAATGCGCTGGCTCGGGCACGTTGTGCGAATGGGCGACGGCAGGATCCCCAAGGATCTCCTGTACGGAGAGCTGATGCAGGGAAAGCGTCCAACAGGCAAGCCCCAGCTACGGTACAAAGACGTATGCAAGAGGGACCTGAAAGCCATGGACGTCGATCTTGCTATATGGGAGACACTGGCTGCAGACCGTTCAGCCTGGAGGCAGTCTGTTCAACGAGGTCTCTCCAAGTTCGAGGAGTCACTTGCCAAGGAATCGGAGGCAAAGAGACAGAGAAGGAAAGCCGGTAGCCAGGAAGACAGACCAGAATCGGACTTCGTTTGTGCTCGGTGTGGGAAGGACTGCCACTCTCGGATTGGCCTCATCAGTCACACCAGACGCTGCACCAGGATTGACAACTAGGGCGCAACTCCATAGTCTCCCGAGACTGAAGGATGCTTACTACTACAGCTTGTTATTTACTCCTCTCAGCTCGTTATTAATTGCGCACCAAGCCTTGTTTGGTCCCGCTTCTTGGGGCCAAATACTTTGATCTTCTCCTTCTGGATTCTACACCTGACGATTTCTCCCTCCATAGGCACTTTGTTGATTCAAAAGATGTTTCTGGTACTGTCAACCCCACCTGTCTCGGTACACGGGTCATTGTTGCTGCTCCTCAGGATGCAGCCACCCACTTAGCCGCCTTATCCTGCCTTGGCGACACCCCTGTTCGGGTCTCCAATGCCAGTGTTGGCACTGTTCTCCTCCCACCCCATGGTGTAACCGGTGTTAGGAATCTACAGGACTGCCACGAAGATATTCGGCATATCCTCGAAGCCCAGGGCCATTCTGTTCTCTTATTCTACAGGTAAACACGTTTACTCGTCCACCTCGTGGTTGTCGCCGTCAGCCCCTTCGGGTTGTGAAGCCTTTGATGGTTGGACCCTTCCGCCCTCTGTCATTCTTGCTGGTGCCAGGTGCTCCGTCCAGGAGTACATTCCCTCTCCTCGGCTCTGTAATAAGTGCTGGAGGTTTGGGCATGGTGCCCTCCGATGTTCCAGTACTGTCTCTCTCTGTCCCTTGTGTGGGGACGAGGGTCACTCTAAAGTCGAAGTGCACTTCTCCCCGAGCTGGCTACCTCAATTGCGGTGAGGTCCACCCTATCTTCTCCCACGCATGTGCACATTACAAACTTGAGGCAGCCGTCCTCACCTTGAAACACCGGGAACGTTTGTCTTTTCCTGAGGCGAGGTGCCAAGTTCGCTGTCTCCCCCCCTTTCGCTGGTGTATCTTATGTTCGCGTGTTTCGCTCTTCCTCTCCTCGTCCTTCCCAGCTTCCTCAGTCTCACAACCGTTTCCAGGCCTTAGCAGAGAACCTGCCTTCAGGGAAGTTGAATTTAACCTTCGATTGTCTATAAGCAATCTGAAAACAATAATTGCCAAAGGCTTCAACAAAAACTTCTATGGATCTGAGGCAAAGTGAAATCTGCGCGAGTAATTCCATCCATCAGCATCATGCTGCTATCACCAGACTCGTAGATGCTACTATTGTTCGGCTTAGACTGGGTTATAAATATTTCTGAGAGCTTGCATTACCTGCTGATGTAGCAACCCGTTCTCGCAAATTTAATAAGTCAATATTGACTTATTAAATATGTGCATAGGTGACATACTTAACATAATAGATACCCTTAAAAAGATTCATAGAAAACACCGACCTTACCTAACCTACTTAGTATGTTAAGATAAGCATCTTATTGCTTCGTAATTACAATTATTACCTAACCTATAATAGGTATAGGTTAAGTAATAATTGTAATTACGAAGCAATAAGATGCTTATCTTAAGATACTAACAAGGTTAGGTAAGGTCGGTGTTTTCTATGAATCTTTTTAAGGGTATCTATTATGTTTAGTATATCACCTATGCACGTAGTTAATAAGTCAATATTGACTTTACGAATTTGCGAGAACGGGTTGGATGTAGATCTGACCATTTGTATAAACTGACGGCAAAATTAGTGGCTTACCTTCCGTCACTATGTGATGTAGTCCGAAAAGTTAAATGTATTTAGGTGCAGCTCGAAAACAGATAATCAAAAGAAATATATATCAATATTTCATTGAAAATAATCTACTACCAGAAATATTTGCCAAATATCCCCCAGTTTTGATAACTAGGCAGTAAATGTGGGGGATTATAACCTTACTCAGTAGGGTGGGGGGGGGGGGGCAACATGACAACCAAAGCAAATCATAAAACCAGCTCATCGCGCACCTTAGTTGTTTGACTTAGAGTGGTCGTTCTGGAACCCACTGTTGATGTGTACTGTGTAACTAGCTCATTAAGACTGTTACTTGAAAGCCAAATGAACTTTTGGGTTCAATTCCTGAGACCGTTGTTGTACCTGTTGTACACTGTGTACTTTTCCCACAACCGCCCATGAGACCGTTACCAGCACGTGCATAATACATGAACTTAATTGACTTAATCATCGAACATCAGTGTGGTCAGGCAGTCCGCAAGGGTTTGATTTTCTTCCAAAAATTAGGCAGCTGAAGTATTTGCGCGCAGTGATAAAATTCACTGTCTTCATGACGACATCCATGACATTATCCACTTTTAATGTTTATCTTTAAAAGTGGATACTTACCTGTACTTACCCAGGGACGACCTGTACTCGTGTGACACCTCGAGGGACGGCCTGTACTCGTGTAACACCTCGAGGGACGGCCTGTACTCGTGTGACACCTCGAGGGACGGCCTGTACTCGTGTGACACTTGCCTCGAGGCCAAGCAGAGGCTATATTAAGCCGTCTTAACAATGGCTCACCAAATATTACACTAAACATGTAAGGTTTTCAGACTTCCGCTCCAGGTCACAAACTCGCGCAGAATACAAGCTGGAGCGAGAGAACTGGGTGTACCTCACACCTGCTGCCGCTGTTCACCCAGCAGGAAATACGATCATGGATGTTAGTCGACTGTTATGAGTCGCGTCCTGAGAAAATGGAGTAACACGGTTCATATTTCAGGAAAACTTGAATTTTCAAGAAACATAAACCAACAAAGACAGGAAACTTCCATCATGAAGTGTCTTGGAACTGTCTCTGTCATGACGGTCTGACACGTTGGCTGCTCTCTGTCTCCCAATCAGCTATATATATATATATATATATATATATATATATATATATATATATATATATATATATATATATGTTGTACCTAGTAGCCAGAACATCGTACTCAGCCTACTATGCAAGGCCTGATTTGCCTAATAAGCCAAGTTTTCCTGAATTAATATATTTTCTCTAATTTTTTTCTTATGAAATGATAAAGCTACCCATTTCATTATGTATGAGGTCAATTTTTTTTATTGGAGTTAAAATTTACGTAGATATATGACCGAACCTAACCAACCCTACCTAACCTAACCTATCTTTATAGGTTAGGTTGGGTTAGGTAGCCGAAAAAGTTAGGTTAGGTTAGGTTAGGTAGGTTAGGTAGTCGAAAAACAATTAATTCATGAAAACTTGGCTTATTAGGCAAATCGGGCCTTGCATAGTAGGCTGAGAAGTGCGTTCTGGCTACTAGGTACGACATATATATATATATATATATATATATATATATATATATATATATATATATATATATATATATATATATATATATATATATATATATATATTATTAAATATGACCGAAAAAGTAAGATTAATAATTCTAACACGAATTTTCTCAATCTTTCGTACATTTCTTTTCACTGTTGGAGGTAAATCAAAAATCAATTCTCCAAATTCATTTTTATTTCAAGTCTGACGCGACACGAGCGCGTTTCGTAAAACTTATTACATTTTCAAAGACTTTAGTTTACAAATACACAACTGAATAGAACTTACGCATCTCCGATTTTATATCTACATTTGAGTGAGGTGGATGGGGTGAGGTGGCATTAATAGGGTATTAATTTCATCAACACAAGACAGAACAAGAGGTGGCATTAATAGGGTATTAATTTCATCAACACAAGACAGAACAAGAGGTGGCATTAATAGGGTATTAATTTCATCAACACAAGACAGAACACGAAACAATGGGTATTGAATAGAAGTGTTTGCAGAAAGCCTATTGGTCCATATTTCTTGATGCTTCTATATTGGAGCGGAGTCTTGAGGTGGGTAGAATATAGTTGTGCATTAATTGGCTGTTGATTGCTGGTGTTGACTTCTTGATGTGTAGTGCCTCGCAAACGTCTAGCCGCCTGTTATCGCTGTATCTATCGATGATTTCTATGTTGTTTACTAGGATTTCTCTGGCAATGGTTTGGTTGTGAGGAGATTATATGTTCCTTAATGGAGCCCTGTTGCTTATAAGCAACAGGGCTCCATTAAGGAACATATAATCTCTTCCGGGCTTCCGGGCTCCGTAATGGAGCCCTGTTGCTTATGCAACAGGGCTCCATTAAGGAACATATAATCTCTTCCCACAACCAAACCATCGTTTTAGGTTATCATCATAATAGGTAAACCATCATAATAGGTTAAGTAATTATTGTAATTAATTATACCTATAATAGGTTAAGTAATAATTGTAATTACGAAGCAATAAGATGCTTATCTTAACATACTAAGAAGGTTAGGTAAGGTCGGTGTTTTCTATGAAGCTTTTCAAGGTAAACTAAAATATTCACAATAAATTAGTATGTCACATATGCAAGTATTTAATAAGTCAATATTGACTATACGAAAGTGCGAGAACGGGTTGGGCTGAATACATGACATAGCAGTCCCCGTGGCGTAGTGGTAAAACACTCGTCCGGCGCTTCGCGAGCTCTTTGTCCTGGGTTCGTATCCTGGCCGGGGAGGATTGACTGGGCGCCAATCCTGAACTGGAGCCTCTGTTCACCCAGCAGTGAATTGGTACCTGGTTGTTAAACGATTTCACGGGGGAAAAAATTAGGATTAAGGATCTGCCCAAAACGCTAGGCGTGCTAGTGGCTGTACAAGAATGTAAGAACTCTTGTATATATAAGTAAATAAGTAAAAAGTAACTCAACCAACACATTTGAAAGGAAAGTGCCGAGGTTTTGTGCCAAAACGAAAGTGCCAAACAAAAAATATATTCATCACCGCTTCGTTTGAATCATTTATGTTAGTTTAGGCACAGAAAATGTTATCAGATAGTTTTGCTTCCCTGAACTAAACATTGTGGTGAAAACATATATTATGCGGTGAAAAATGGCCGGATGTCACATATTTTTATCTGATGACTGAAAATATCAGATTACAGTATTTGTCGACGCGGTTTCCGTTAACCAAAAATGCCAAAAATAGCCTGTTAACTATTACGTCCAAAAAATTATTTTTTTTATTTTATTTTCATCCCACTATTACATGTTGTTTTTGGCTTGGCGCCTTATTTGGCTATTACATACTTTTCATCCTACGAGTAACGTTTTTTTATTTTTTTTTTATTTTTATGTTTACATGCGAGCATGCGTATAAGTATAATAAAAGCAAAACAGAAAACAAATTAGAACAAAACAAGTAGAGCAGAAAAGTACAAAATTACAAAAGTACAAACTTGCAAAATTACAAAATAACAAAAGGTCTAAGTACAAAACACTGGTCTGAAGGGCCGACAATAAAAACACAACAATAAAAACACAACAATAAAAACAAACACGACAATAAAAACACAACAATAAAAACAAACACGACAATAAAAACACAACAATAAAAACAAACACGACAATAAAAACACAACAATAAAAACAAACACGACAATAAAAACACAACAATAAAAACAAACACGACAATAAAAACACAACAATAAAAACAAACACGACAATAAAAACACAACAATAAAAACAAACACGACAATAATAAAAAACAACAATAATTACAAACGCGGGAAAATAGTACAGAAATGACAACATTGCAACACATAGCACCCAAACCCTCACCCAACAACCCAAACACCGGAACATAATTATACAAAACGAGCCTACTGGCCCCGTAAATCACACACGGAGAGGCGTTTTATAATCACGTCCCCAAGGCGAAACCAGAAATTATTAACTCATTGGTGATACCTTATGCGAGTGGACTTGAAAAATTGTGTCCGATTTTTAAGAAACTTAATATAAATTTGGTGTTCACTAATAGCACGATCAAATCCAATTTAATAAAAAATTCCCCTGATACAGCAGGTTGCGTGTATTCGATTCCCTGCAATGATTGTGATTTTGTGTACCTTGGACAAACAGGAAAGTCCTTACAATTGCGGTTGTCACAACATGCTTATAGTATTAGAACTGCCCAAATGTCTAATGCCTTGTATTTGCACACGAGTTTATGCGATCACAATATTAACTGGAATGGGGCGAAAAGCATTACCAATTGTGGTGATTTCGTGGAACGGAATTTGATTGAGTCTGCTCTAATCAGTCAGTGTCCAAATCTTCTTAATGTTAGTACTGGTATGTACAAACTTGATCCATTTTTCAGTTATAATATTGCACAACAGTTTAAGAAAAAACTCTGATAGAGAG